ACATATTTTTGAGCAGATAGCAAAGGTGAATCATTATTTGTTTAAAAAGAGCTTTCTCCAACTCAATTTTAGTTAGTATTTTTGTCAAACAGCCACTGGGAGACTATCCAACACCTTCCCATTATTCATAGTAAATCTTCCCTCAGAAATACAAATCAGAAATATGCTTGTGTTTGTTTAGTTCCTATTAGTTCCAGAGTATTCTCATGTCTGTCTTGGAAAAATAAGTGTTCTTTAAATTATGACTCGTACATACATGCCTTAAAAATCTAACTTGAAAACTCAGTTGTGACATTTCAGAAATACTTTAGTGATACATTTTAACATTTCCCAGTGGATTTTATTATTGTTTTAACTGAAGATCTCCACTTTTTTTTTCTCCCCAGATGCTCCAGAAGTTGATTTTCTTATTTAAAAATAAATACCAAAAGTAAAAGTTGAAAAATTCCCAATAGTAAATACTGAAAAAAATTGTCTCCATTGCAGTCTATCACTAATCAGCATCACCCTGCTTGTGCAAATAATAAGCTATAAGCTATACAGATTAGTGGGCAAAATTCCCTTTGCTAGGTCAGTCAATGAGTGAGTCATAATTAGGATGAGAAACAGAGACGAGAAAAAAGCAGTCTAGTGTTGAAGTTATGTTGCTGGTGTGCTAAACAAACAACTGCAGGAAAGTGAAAATGAAAAAAAAAAAGTTTTGTAACTCACCTTTCTCTTTCAATATGAAAAACTTGGGCAAAAGTGAAATCACAACATTCTTGGCAAATGGCCAAAATAGTCCATTCTGTGCAACAGATTTCCTTCTCACCCCTCCTGAAGTGAAATGCCTGGAGGATTTGTGAGTCAGCAAAAATCAGTTGCTCTGCGTGGGAGATGCTTTAATTTCTTTTTCACCTGTGACAGCAGTACAGATATTCTCTACAATTCTGTTTAAATACAGGCTGGAAATAATTCATTCTTTGAAAACTGAGTGAGGAAAAAAAATTTTTGTATTTCATCTCAGCCAGAGGCTTCAATTTTGAAAGAATTTACGGGATACTCTGCTGCATGCAAACCACGAATGCAGAAGAGATGCTTTCACTCACTTTAGAGTGTATTCTTACATAACCATGGGATACTATAGTTTCTTAAACCTAAGCATGGATATTACACTGATGCATGACTGCTGAAAGTCATCTAGTTTGTTAGTAATGTTCTTGTGGTAATTTTTCCCATCACTTTTTGTACATAATATAGGAACATAAAAGACCGTTGGATTTCTGCAAAGAATAACCAAGGGGTGTTTATGCAGCTAATGCATCATCAGTTCAATACATAGTTCTTATTTTGATTTTGAATATTATTACAGATTTTCAAAAATAGTCAACAATTAAAAAGGTCAAAAATCAAGGCACCTCATCATTAACATACTTCTGAAAATACCTCATGTCCATAAGCCAGATGTTTGATGGTTTGGATGATATATTATCTTATGTTATAAAAATCATATAATGTTTTTGTTTAGTCCTTGCTTACTTTCATACGTCAAAGACTTTATTTATATTTCATCCAAATCTTAAGGAACTAAGAGAGAACATATCTCTAAACACAACAGAAATAGGATATAAAGGAACAAAATCAATATAGCTCAGAAGATTACATTTTTGTTGATTTGTCACAGCTGAGGTTTTCCTGAGCCCCAGAGCATAGGATGTTAAACTTCAACATGCTAAACATCTACTAAAATACTATAAAGCCCCAAACCACGTGTTGTGATGAGTTAAACATCATTATTGAGCTTTGAGTTGTTTGTGCCTTAAATAGGAGTATTAGATGCAACATGGCAAATTCTCTCCCTTTACTGATTTACAGAGATCATTTTCAACTGTTGATTCACTTAGAAAAGGTTGGCTTTCAGACCGTCTGCAAAAGAGAGATTGCAATGTATACTTTACCTTGAGGGCAAGAGCAGTGAACTCCATTTGTTAAACAGAGATACACTAATTTGTGGGAATGAGATAAGTAATAAATTCAAATATTTGCTGAATATTTTGTAATTAGTTGAGAGGACAGACCCTCAATAAACAGAGCCTATTCAGGCCAGTAAAATCCTGGCATGTGAAATACGTTTCTTGTACGTTTTTTAAGCAGTTAGAGGAAGCCTGACTGTCAGAAAAATCCTAGAGAAATTATGCACAATGTATTTGCTCTGTTAAAATGCACTCTTTGTTGTCTTCCCTGACTTCCAGGATTATCTCAGAACACTATTAATTCAGGATGATATTAGTAGAAGAATGAATTTCACATTTCTTTTACACATCATGTGTGCTCCATGCTGGTGCACAAATCTGTTTACAGGGAGGGAAGCACGGGCCTATGTTTGAAACATCAACGGCACTAGCATGATAAAAGTAAATTGAAGTATTTACAGTCACTGAAGGAAACTGGATCTTGGATTCACCAACATTTGACCCTTGAACAATACTCTTTGCTGTTTTGCTTTTTTCCTACTCTGAAGCTTTTTTTTTTTTCTCCAGTATGAAAATTTAAGCCATAATTTATGAGATTTATGAGAAGAATTCAGAATCTTGCTTACTCAAAAGCTGCACATTAAACAATGGATTCCTATTATGTGACAGAATTACAGCATCTATTATTATTGACCTATGTCCCCTTGTAGGCCACAAATACAGTCAAGTGTTTTAGTAGTACTTCCGATATGAATTTCACATAGGCTTGTCATTGACTGTAGTTTCTTCTTCTGGGTTTCATCAATAACCACACAGTGCCACCTAATGTCCTCAAAGAGCAACAAACCGTTTCTAAAATCTCACCTGAAGCCCACAGTCTCAAAATTAAGACTTGATTGTGACAGAACGTTGTTTCCTGAGCCTACCCGGTAAAGAGCCTCTAAATAATTTGCCTCTGTTTTCATCAATACAACCCTAGCCTAACGGATTAAATGATAGGGTCTGAGCTAATTATTAGTGCTCAAAATGGAATGATGATGATGATGATGATGAAAACTCACAGTCTTTAAGAAAATAATTTGTCTAATCAAATGGAAGGAATAGAGGAACTGTATAAATTACTCTTGCCAGTAAAATGGATTATTTTGTTGGAGCCTCAACCTTCTTATCGACAAGTCTAAATTGTGTAAGAAACAAACTGATGGGGGAACCAACAGAATACAGTCTTTGACCCCTCCATCTCTTCAGTGCACCATTGCAAATAATGGAAACAATATGGAAACAATCCTAAACCCTTTCCTTGTGTTTTTGGTAGATCAACTAAGAAGTGTTGGCACAGTTTAAGCCACAACAAGTAATTCTATCCCAGCTGAAACAACGACAGTTGTGTATTAGTATTTTATGCACATTAGATATTAATTTTCTCACACACATGTAAACATCATTTTCAAACCTTCTAAAATTGCATTTAAGGCTCCCTAAGACCTTAAAATGGTTTCTGACAAAGCAAGACCCAGCCCTTCACAGAACAAATGGCAGTTGCTGTCAAACCAGGCTACAAAAATTTTTGAAAGTTAAAAGAATAAAGCATCCTCTAGATTCCGAAACTGTTCTGCCAGTGAACACAGGTGCAGGTGAATACTTATATCGTAATATAGATAAAATGCATTTGTTCATCCAGGGCGAAATGGTCACATTTGACTCTAAATAGTGCAGACGGCACAGGGGATGCTGGGAGCAGATGACACTTCGTGGGGCAACGGATGGTTTTGCCGGCGAAGCGGGTGCGGCTGGTGTTGAAACACAGCCACCTACTGGCCTCTGGTCCGCACTGTTTATGTCGCCTTGGCTTCTCGTATCCAGAAACTCAGTTTTGGAGCACGAAATCTTGTCCCAGCCCATTTCAGCAGGAGCTTTACTTATATTCATGGGGTATAAATTATGATGTTCATTCGTGATTGGCATTTATTTTGGCTATGCTTAAGCACAGATGTGAATGAGGACTGCAGCATGTTGGTTATGGAGCCTCAGCCAAGGTAAACAGCATTTTATTTTCACTACTGGATTTGAGATCATTTGAAGACTTGCTATGGATTAGCCATGTTTCCTCCTATGTTACAGTAAGTTGGATCTTCAATACACATTGCAATGTATTCCGATGTGCACCGTAACACACATGGAAGCCACTTATAATTTAACTACAGAAAGCATGTGCCAGGAAACCTGTGCCAGTGTTTTACCACCCTCTGTGTAAAAATATTTCTTCCTCACATCCAGCCTGAATCTCCCCTCTTTTTTAGTTTAAAACCATTACCCCTCATCCTATTGCAACAAGCCCTGCTGAAAAGCCTCTCTCCATAATAAGCCTTTCCTCATAATATACAGTGTGTTCAAAGACAGCTCTCCAATGCAGACCACAGGACTGAGAAATTGTTCCTCTCCAAATACTGGGGAATTTGCTGCTTTGGTGACATTTACCTCTCACTAGAAATACAGTCTGGGACCTGCAAAACCCTTCCTGTCGAAACTGAGACATGTACTCCCACAGAAAGCCTTATTTTTAAATAAACACATCTTTTATTTACGGGAGAAGGAGGTAGCGTCATTAAAATTTCATACCCAGATTGACATTACTGTAGCCCTAAATGGGGTTTCCACTTTATGGTTAACCCCACACTCCAAACGTGGAGCTCCAGAAGTGGCACGGGTGCCCTTGCCAACCCTGAGCACCTCCGTGATGCAGCAGCCCGAAACCGGCCTGCCATGGATCCACGTCTGGCATGGGACAGAATAAAACCAAAAGCCAGATGCCCCGTTTAGGCACATGCTGCCTGGAGCCATCGCAGCCGTTCAGCATCGGCCGGCCCGAGCGGGAGCTCCCCAACTCCTGCCATTCTTTCCAGCAAAATCGGTTTTATAAGCGTCCCCCCCTACCCTTTCCCCAGTCACCCCGCCTGCCCCCTGTGCGACCCCAGGAATCTATCAGTCCGCTCCCGCGCGTTGGGCTGGGCCGCTCTGCGGGGCGGGACCGGGCCTCAGCCAGGGGCGGTGCCGCTGAGCCCCGAGGTCGCTCGGCCGCCATAGCCATGAGCTGTACCGCGCTGCTGGGGCTCAGGGGACAGCGGTTGTTGAGGGCCGTCGCCCGCCCTCCCCGCTGGAGCAGGCGGCGCAGCACCGGCTGCGAGCCCCCGGCGGGAGCCGCGGTGCGCATCGGCTGCGCTTCGGGCTTCTGGGGAGACACGGCGATAGCGGGTAGGTATAAGCACGGGGCCAGGGAGGCAGCTGCCCGCGGGGGTTGCGGGGAGAGCCGGCTGGGCAGTGGGGGCTGTCGGTGGGGCACGGAGGCCTGGCGAGGCCCGCGGCAGGGCGGGCGGCGGCTACTAGCGCCGCAAACAGCCCCGTTGCGTAAGTGGCCGGGTCAGGGCTGCCGCTGCACGCCCGGGCGGGGCGGGCTGCCCGCATGGCACCCGCCGAGAGCAGGGGTGGGCCGGCTCGGCGCGCCCCGCCTCAGCGCTATCCCGCGGCCGGGCCGGGAAACCGCGATGCTCACGGCCGATTCTGCCCTGCCCCGCCAGTGCCGCAGCTGCTGTACGGAGGGAAGCTGGATTTCCTCGTCTTCGATTATCTCTCGGAGATTACCATGTCGTTGCTGGCGGCTGCCAAAGCCCGGTCTCCCGTAAGTAGCTGCGCCTCAGTCCCGGACTGCCCGACTTAGCTCTGGCGAGAAGCCGGGCTGGGTAGAGTGAAGCTCCACGTTGATGCGAGGGCTCCCGTGCCTCCGAGCTCTCCTCCAATGCGGATGGTACTCCGGGTCTGCTTAGGACATGTCAGGTTATGGGGACACGTTTGCTTTTGCGTACTTGTTACTTAAATGTATTCATCTCATAGAATCATACAATGGTTTGGGTTGGAAGGGACCTTAAGCGTAATCTAGGTTCAAGCCCCCTGCCATGGTCAGGGGCACCTCCCGCTAGACCAGGTAGCTCAAAGCCCCATAGAGCTTGGCCGTTATTTTTACATATTCAGTTTCACCTAGTAGAAGTGATCACGTCCTTTTTCATAGCATTATCCAAACATCTTGAGAACTAGTTGTTCTTCCCTCTTAACCAGGGAAGGGGATGGGATTGACTTAACCATAACCGATGGTTACAGCTTTTAATTATTTCAGGTTTTAGGTTGCACTCCAGATTTTGTCTCTGCTGCCATGGCTCCCTATATAAAAGATGTTCACAGGAAAGGTATGCTACTCTTCGCGTGAGTTTGTATGTTAATTCAGTTCACTTTTTTAGGTGAGTTTTGTGTGGTTTCTGTTACTATAAATGGATGGTTTTTACCCCAGTGTTTTGCTGTCCTCTAGGAATAATACTTTAAGCATCAGCAAAAACCCGTCATAATAGAAGTGCAGTCTGATGGTGATGTTTAAATTTGATTAATTTGAAATGCTTGTTATAAATATGTACATCTCCATATATTTCTTATTGTAGCTTTAATTTTTGAATGGAAGATCACTTTGCAGGTCTTTGTTAAAACATCAGAGCTAGACATTTTCAATGCAGTGTAGAAGTTTTTGAGCCTTCCCATATAATTGTAGAATATGATATATTTTCTGATTACTTTCTCCTCTGTTTACATTAGTATGTCTATACAGCTTTCTGAGCTTGAGAGGAGAAAGGGAATCACGCCGAAGTACCTAGTACCTTGCTGACACAGTCTGGAGTTTCTAAGAGATAGATGAGTATTTCTGCTAAAATGCAGTTGTTTGAAGAGCAAGGGTTCTTGAATGACTGGTGTCAAATACTGTTTCTGTAGAAGTTGTTTTGATACTGTCTGCCTCATCATGTATGTGTTTGTGGTCACTTTCTCCTTCCGTGTGTAAAGGAAAGGTGGGAAGTGTCTGTAACAATTACTTTTCTGTGAACTATTCTGCATTGACTTACTCTGATCCTTTGACAGATTAAGTGGGGTACATATGTTAACATGATTTTAGTACTCTATTAGATGTCTGATGGTACCTTGCTTGTGTTCCAGCCTGCTTTTTAAAGTTTTTTAAATATAAGTGATTGTTGATGCTGCTGCACGTGATGTTTCTTTTTTGTTTAGGCGTTCGTGTCATCAGTAACGCTGGTGGAGTTAATCCGCTTGCTTGTGCAGCTGCCCTTCAGGAGGTGGCAAAGAAAGCAGATGTTGATTTGAAAATAGCTGTTGTTGCTGGAGATGATTTAATGAGTGAGGTACTGTACTTTGTCTTAAGGCTTAGTAGCACTGTGAAAATTAGTCTATATAGCTTGAAGGTGGCATTTACTGTCCTATAGGAACTTATTTTGTGTATCTTTATGCAGTAGTCTCCTACCATTAAAGGCATCTAAAAATTATTGCTTCATTTTTTGTGCATGAAAACAGTTCATGGCACATCTATGTTTAGTGTGTGTAGGGGGTGAATTTTATGACTGGGTCTGGTGTTTATCTTTTTTAAGCGAACTGAGTGTGATCTGAGGGTTGCTTACTCTTCAGGAGAAGCTAGGGTGTTACTTACTGTTTCTGCCTAAACTAAATAATCCTGACTGTTAAAATCTCTTGGATTTAAATGTGATGTAGTTACCACATATTCAAATGTTCATCTCTTCTAGCCGTTTTTAGTAATTTACAGGCATTTCCTGATGTCATTTTGTTTATAGGTAGCAATTTCTATTTCCAAGTAATTAGTTTATGGCTGGTAAGGTAATGTTAAGTGGTAGTATTCAAACTGTAACATTAAACAAACAAACAAACAAAACTTGAAAGATGAAATATATAGGTTTTTTGAATTAAAGGATGATGCTTTATGTATAAACTCTGGTTCTGCAAAAAGCATTGGCCATACCTGAAAAGATATTGTGAAAACAGTTTACACGTTGATAATGGTTAAGAGGAGATAGGTTTGTGCTGTGGTTAGATCTCTGCTTTTAACTTGGAAAATTATTTATCTGTGTAGGCTCTGTTCCTCCTTGCATGCTATTGAATGTGGAAGATGGTCAAGTAAGATTCTTTATTTGCAAATTATGTGCAGTGCTTGGACTTCCTTTCAAGGAACTTCTGTCCTACTAAGATCTCTTTAGCATTCATGGTCCAGAATTTCATTACTGGCATGACAGTGAAATAGTAATTATTTGAGCTTGGCACAGACATTTCTGATCTGAGATGATTTTTCTATTGTGAGTACATAACTTACAGGAACAAAAAGAGACAGCATTTACTGTCTAGACAACTCTTACTGTTGATACCAGACCTCATAAATAAAACGAGGAAATGTTACTTGTGGTTTGTAGGATTTCAGTAGAATACCAAAATAATTCAACATGGATTTTTTTTTTCCACACTCTAGTTTCCCCCTGTAACTAGCATTATCTACTGAGTCTATGCAGTCACTGGCCCCTTGAGCCACTGGTTTCCCAAGCTACCAATACATGGTCAAAAATGCCCTCCTCCCCTACCTACCTACCTCTCTGGAAACACAATGTATTCCAGGTATGACCTGGAGCTGCAGAATTAGCCATGTTTTCTGGCCATGCCACCACTGCTGTTATGGCAGACAAATTTCTATTTTCAGGGTTTGATTTATACAGTTCTACAGCAATTAAAGATAGTTTTAAAGCCCAGGGAGTATACAAGTTCATTTCAGTTATCATCTATGAATAAACTAGGATTCTTCAAAGACTGGTTTATTTTAATGTGTGCTGGAAAACTGTGGTTAAAAGTGTGTCTGGGGGTTTTAGCCATTCAGCTGATTTGTGTTGTTGCTAATTTTAATGATTGTATGTTGCTCAGAGTTGCTATGAAGTAGACCTGTTGTCTGATACTAATAAAAGGCTTGGAGCAGATAACTACAAAATGCTCATTGATGTGGTGTTCTGTTTGTTTTCTGACAGAAGGAGAACCTAAAAGGAGCTGGTATCACTGATATAGACAGTGGCAAACAATTTCCAGAGAGCATTCATAGCATGAATGCGTATCTTGGGTGAGTTATTTCACAAGTTGTTTTTATTATGGAAAAATACTTTTTACACATTGGCTACAACCACCTGCTATGTGAGGTTCACATCTGCGTTATTCAGGCAACCAGAAAAAATTTTCTTTGTAACTTGTAAGTAAGCTTTTAATTTAGAACCTTACCAGGTTCTGATTCTGAGAAATGGGGCAATCATAGTATCATAGAATACCAGTTTGGAAGGGACCTCAGGGATCACCTGGTCCATTCTTTCTAGGCAAAGCATGACCTAGACTAGGTGTCCCAGCACCCTGTCCAGCTGAATCTTGAAAGTGTCCAGCTGGGGAATCCATCACTTCCCTGGGGAGATTATTCCAATGGCTAATTGTTCTCATTGTGGAAATTCTTCTCTTGTGCCCAGCCAGAATCTACCCAGCAATAACTTCTGCCCATTAGCCTTTGTATTTTACATGTGATTACTTGTAAAAAGGGAGTCTCTATCTTTGTAGTCACTCTTGAAATAGTGGAACATGGTGGTAAGGCCTGTCATGAGCTGCCTTTTCTCTAAGCTGAGCAAACTCAGCTGTCTCGGCCACTGCTTGTGCAGCAGGCTTCCCAGTCCTTTCATAGTCCTTGTAGTTTTCTCTGGACCTTCTTCAGCCTGTCCATGTTTTTTTTAGTACAACAGGGGCTAAAACTGAACATAGTATTATAGATGTGGCCTGACAAGTTTGAAGTGGCATGATGACTTCTTTGTCTTTGCTGGTGATGCCCTGTGGTCAGGTGTTCCCAAAAAGCCAGAATCTCTCCCAGTTGATGATCCTGGTGATCCTGGTTTTGCATCCTCCATGTCATGTATGTGATGCCTGCTGTTTTTCTGTTCGGCGTTTTTCTGGAGTCTGCACACAGTAGCTCCTCTTTTACATTAATGTTCATGGGAAAACTGCCGTGCTCTGTCTCTTACTATCATTGCATTTTTAAAACATATCACTGGTACGTAACAGGGTATGTCTGTACCTGAACCAGCATATATTTTAATTTGTAAAACAAAGCCTTTTAGTAGATGAGTCTTTTTAAATTCTTCAGCATTTTCTGTTGTAGCTGGATTTTCTGTTTGTTAAACTTTGACTTGCATCATTTGCAGATCATGGGTAACAACATGAAATCAAATAAATAATGTTTAAGATTTGTAATTGTGAGAAAGCATTCATTCCGATTCTGGTGGTTTATGATTTATTAGAGATTAAAAAAGCAATGTAAATTGAAGCAGAGAGGACAAAAGCAGGCTAGTATGAGGATGAGGTATTTTAAAAATCCATTACCTCTGGTTCGTTAACAGATTCTAGAACATTGGACTTGCGGTCTTGGTTTTCTAATAAAACCAGTATTTCTTTATGGGCCCCTTAAACTCAGTTGCACTGACACATAACACTATTACCAGCCTCTTAAATGGGTTGTTTCTGAAGTTACAGTTTTCTTTGATAGCATCAGCAGTGGATGCTTATTCGTAAACCAAATAATAGATTTATATATAGGCACCTGTAAAACAAGTCAACATCAGAGTGAATTGGGTACAACCTGTAAGTTCTGTAGATAGTTCACTCTTCATTCCCTGAATCTGATGATGTTTTGATTCTTGATTCAAGTATGTAAACTCCCAAATTTTTCAGATGGATATCAGTCCTGAAGGGTTTCTTTTGTCTCTCCTGATTTGGGCTATTAGGAGTTCTGTGGACTAAGCTCACATGCATTTTTAACAGTACGAACCAAACAGCTGTATTTACTGCTTTCTAAAGGTAGTTATGCAGTTTTTCTATCAGTGTCCTGTATGTATACAGAAACCCCATTTGTTTTTTTTACCTATGAGGGTTACTTAATGCTGTGCCCAGAGGTATAAATTGTTTCTGTGTGCTGTATATTTGCTTGTTGTTTCAGCTAGTATCCTTTGGTTCAGGTAGTATTGGAAAAACAAATCCAAAACCAAACCACTGTACTTAATGCTTACATTACTAAGAACTTCTGTGTCTTCTAAATTACCTCTTGACAAAAACAGGGCTATGTCTATAGAAACTGTGGAAAAACACTGCACTTGGTTTTGTTCTTTGAGGCCCATGGTTTATGTGGTTTGTGTCTTCAAGCTGCCTATTTGATGAAGAATAGAAGGGTCCAGCAGATATCATGGGTTTAGAAGCCAGGAGCCATGCACTCTGGTCAAAGCTTGCTCCCTAAAGTATATAAACTTGAGCAGTTCACCTGGGTGAATATTTTCAAGCCTGACAAATTTTGACTGTGCTGACTCCTACTTGAAGAATCTGGAAAATCTGTGGTCTTGAGTTTCTTCAGAAATAATGATTGCACAATGATTTTTCTTTGAAGTTGGTTGATATTGCAAGTTGTAAAAACACAGAAATTCATCTGGAGGGTTTAAAATTGGAGCGGAAAGTCACCAAGCTTTCTCTGTGAAGAATATTGTTTTTTTTTATATACTCATTTACAAATGAAGTGAGAGTAATGAATCTCTGAAAACCAGTATTTTCTCTTACTGATGATAGAAGTGACCCTCTATGCACTGTGTTCAGGACAGTTTCTGTGAGCATTATGTGTTTTGATTATGCCATTTAGGTACCTGTATTTGATAAGGTATTCTGATATTTGCTTTTTAAAATAATCTTGGTGTATGTACAAAATGACAAATTGATTTTACTGATTTCCCACAGGATTTTTTAAGTGATTTTTATCCTGTGTATGGCAGGAAACTGATGTTTGTGTTTTTTTTTTTTTTAAATAATCATTAAAAAAATGAAGTATTTGCTGTTTTGTTTTTTCATCCCTAGAGCAAGGCCAATAAGCAGGGCTCTTGACCTTGGAGCTGATATTGTTGTGACAGGTAGATGTGTCGACAGTGGGATTGTATTAGGACCGCTCATTCATTCTGTAAGTACAAGTTAATTCCCATATAGGGAACTTAATTGAATGAATATTCAACAATCATTGTCAGCCAGTTTTTGTCCATTATTAAAATGCAGATACTAAATTAAAAATAGTACGCACCTTAATTATTTTTTTCCTGACATGCATGAAAAGTTGCCAGTTTTCACTTCTAAACTTACAGCAGGAATGTTTATGAGCTTGACTATCATGAAGCTGGATTTGGTGAAGCTAAGAATCTTGCCATGTTTCACCAGCATTTCACTACTTAACTTTTCCCCCTTTTAAAATTCGATGTGTGAGGTTAAGAAAAACTATGTTTTTCTTTACCACAAGATGGCGATAGTAGAGCTCACTTTGTTTTTTCTTGGGAGGCGCATCAGGTGGTCTGAAACACTGGTCTCTTTTTAGTGGGTAAACAGTATTATTTTAAGTAGTTGAATTTCAGTGCAACATTTATAAAATTTTTTGAATTTCATTAAATTATAGAAGTAGTATATGTGGTTTTCTGAAGCATTTTAGATAGCTTATACATTTCTGTGAATGACCACACACTGTGAAATATGCAAGCTTAGTTTTGGTGCACATTAAGAAAAATAAAACACGGTATACATTAATGTCTGGTTACAAACATCCTTTCTACAACTTCATACTCTCCTGACTTCCTCCATATCCAATACTGCCTAATCTAGAATTAAACTTTCCCATTTGTAGTTGCCATTGTGTGTGGTTATTTTATTCCTAGCTATTTACATTCTTAAAATAGCTGTCAGTGTGTTTTATCTACTCCAGAGGAGCCTTATCTAACTTACTGAAAGGTTTTAGGGAGTCTTCTGCCATAGTCTAAATAAGAAACAATGAATATATTGCTTGCATTGTGTTTAACTTGGGGGAAAAATAATTTCTAGTTAAACAGAAAACATATTTCCAGTTATTAAGGATGACTGGTAGTACTTCAGGAAGTGATAATCTTCAAAAACTGAAAATCTGTACTGGTCTGTTTCCATGACACCAAATAGATGCTAGACTTTTAAAATTCTGGGTCATGCAAATTTTTAATAATATTTCACTTCCAGTTTGTTTAAAGAATGTGTTGACTATGAGAAATTATATTTGTGTATTAGTAAGAGGAAAACTGAAATACATCAGAGCTCTTTTACAAACTTACTGTATAGCAACTCAAATCCACTTAAGAGCCTCTGCCAGTTATTGTTCTTTAGATTTCTGCAATTAAGTAAAAACATGTCCAATGCATTGTCACTCAAAGCAGTGAACATAATGCAGTTTTCTGTACTGTATGAAATGTCTCTGTATTTAACAGTTTTGTATTTTTCTTCTAGTTTGGCTGGAATAGGGATGAATTTGACTTGCTTGCTGCGGGAAGGTAAATGATATAGGAAGAAATGGGTAAATTTATATTTCGTAGCATAATGTCAGGATAACAAACTTTTTAATCTGTGATTTTGCATGTTATTATTGAAATTATTTATTTAAATGTTTTTGTTAGGTTTTGGGTTCTTTTGTAAGGCTCGTTTAATACTGTTGCTTGGAATTGAAATTACAGAAACTTCATTTTGGAATCAACTTAAAATACAAAATGAGGAAAGGAGTGAATGATTTTATTTAAACAGCTTAACTTTCTCTTCCTCTCCATTTTGTGTCAAGAGGTGAAACCTTACAGTGTAGATCAGCAATTCCCAGCTTTTTCTATTTGCCATCACTGTTGGTAGTTGAGATGGTAGCAGCTCTTATCCTCAGAGACGCATAGTGATTCAATCAGAGATCAGCATCGTTGTATGGTTTTGCAGAAGCTCAGTGTCAGTACTCCATTTGCAAACCCTAGTTGTAAGCCCTAAGGTTAGGAATCTGGTGCAAAAAGCATAGGGTAAAATTCTGTCACCTAGTTAAATATTCTGTGTAATCTGACTGTGTTGAAGTCTATAAAAATGAGTGACTGCATAGGTACCTGAGTATGCCTAGTAATAATATGATTGGATCTCCTTTTCCAGGAGAATAAATGTGGAGAGAAACTTTGTCTCCGCTGAATTGGGGATGATAGATAAGGATTTTCCCTCTAATTCTGTTGAGTGTTTGTGGACTATCACAATTAGAGATTTGAAAATCATAGTACGTAATCATAATACATTCTGTCCTTCACATTTGAAGTGAGATCTTTTATTTCTTGATTTAAAAATGGGCTGTGCATATTTAGATAAGCTTGTAAGTGTTCATATTTCCCTGGAAGTTAATTTGATTCTTCATGTAGAAGTTATTCCTTTCAACTCTTCTTACACTCATCTTTCAGAATCCCTTGTTATTACTATTACATTTTTAAAGCTGGGTTTGTGAAACGTGATTTTACAGAATACTTAGTTATTTGAATGTCATTTTCCCAGCCTTGCAGGTCATCTCATTGAATGTGGTGCTCAATGTACAGGTGGAATATTCACTGATTGGCATGCAGTACCAGACTGGTACGTAATTGTGACATCAGCATGTACGTCTGTAGGGGACCAAAGATGAGGTTTCCTACTATATGTGTTGTGATAACTGCTTCTACTTTATTCTTTTGGAGGAAGCAAGATGGGCCTCTTGATATTTTTCCATCTTAATGTTACTTTTCTGTGGTCTGTTCTCCCTGTTGCAGTTTTCCTTTCTGGCCAACTGGGGGCTTGCTTTGTTAACTTAAGCAGATGATTTGAAAAAATTATATTGCTTTGGTTTTTTTTTTTTTAACTGTTTTTTTCCTTTATCATCTGCTCTTTTGAAAGATTTATTATTGGCTCTTACGTATTATTATAATGGGACAAACAATATGCATCAGTCATCAGCTAGATCAGTTGCCTACTGTTCAGTCATGAATTTATCTAATTTCTTTGATAGAGATGAATGTATACCACAGTCTTCTCTTGCTGTATGATGTAGCTCAACACATTTCTGGAGATCACAAGTCCTTTCAAAAAGTTACATATCTTGTTTTCAGTCTTACTGAATTGGATTTTGACACAGGTAGGTCCTTCTGCCTGCTAAGGAAGGACTTAATGTAGCCTCCTTTTGACCAACTTGTTTTTAAGAGTAGTTTAAAAATAGGGAATGTTTTAGGTAGGATGAGTGATTCTGGCTGCAGTTTATCCCTGTTGTCATTGGGATAAGAGAGAAGAATCTTGTCCTGTGCCATGTCACATAAAAGGCAGTGCTGCTTTTACATGGCTGAGGAGAGTGCTGAAGAGCAGTGGGAGAAATGCAGGAGAGAAGTGTGGTTTTAATCCTGTGTGTTCTTGCTCCTAACGTCACTCTGGGATGAAGGCCACTGGGAGCAACCTGTAATCCAGGTGGATGAACCAGCAGGACACTGGGCCCTTCAATCTGAAGAGCTGCTCTCCTGAGTAGTTCCTTAGGGCTGCCAAGATTTTTTTCTTCTCCTTGTAGTGACTGTTTCAGATTGAGTGTGATCCTGAAAGGTGCATTCTGCTCTTCTGAGTTCCTGAACACTGCTGATGTATAGGTGAAAGGTCAGACCATTTCTTTTCACTTACTGTCAGGCTATTAGCCCTGAACAAGCTGGATTTACTGTTGTATTTAGTAGGAGGTCAAATGAGAGTTTATATTAACAAGACAGTGTTCAGTTTGGAAATTTGTAAGTGCTAATTTTATTCCTATTCTGATGTATTTCCTGATGACTTAACTGTGCTGTATTATCCAAAAGACCTTGCTTTATAAAAGAATGAAAGGAAGAAACAGAATCTTGGAAAATGCTACTTTTAATATTAAAATGCTTGGTAGTTCTTTATTTTTAAGGATTTTTCTTTGAGAAATGGCAGTCTGGTTTGGGAAAAAAAGAAAAAAAGGAAGTTTGAGTTTATTAAGCTATGAGCTACTGGTGTAGCACACAAAAATTAGGGTGTACCTAATTTTATAGACAAGTGTACATACCTTGGATATGCTTACCTAATACCTGTGGGGGTATATGTAAAAATCATGTAACTGTATCTAAAATCATAGTAGTCTTGTGGCTTAGAGCTGACTGGTCCTAGCTTGTATTGCTGCTAAACAATATAGAAGGTCAGCACCTAATACGGGTCTGTTACCTTGTCCCATTGCATCCTTCTGAACTATGCATGATTGTAACTGTGCTAATATAACAGTAATTTATTTACTTTCAGGTTGCCTACTAAAGATTTAATCATGGTGCTTTAAAACTAGTGGGTTTGTTTGCAAATTCAATAAGTCTTAAGCATTTAGTTGAAATTTTTGAAATAAAAGCATGTTGTGTGTCAGCCTGTGTGATAAACTCCTGAATCTAGTCAAAACTAAACTAACATGTGAGCTTTAATTTTATATTTGGAGAGGCAGAGTAGATGACGGACTAAAGTGGGCTTGTAGTCCAGCACATCCATTTAGGAGGGGAGGAGATCTGTTAGAACTTTGCTGTTCTTCCCCCACCCCAATAAATAGATACTATATTTAAGCCCAAATGCATGAAGAGGAAATATGAAAGCTTTTGGTCCATACTAAACTGCATTTTCCATCCGATAGCTTAATAGTAACCTGTTGACTCCTTAAGTTAAAGAAACTTGATGGCATGGTTTTTTTTTTGTTATTAGACAGTCTGAATCTTTTATCAATGCATGCAGATAATGCGTTGTGTAATAATGCACATTAATAATACAGTAATTTGTAGTCTTAATGACCAAAACATGCAATATGTGCTGCCACCAGCATCAGTTGTATTGCCAGTAGGTCAGCAGAGCTCTGACAGAGTTTGCAGAAGTTACTTCAGTATGCTGTATTAATGATTTCTCCCTCATTTAGGAAAAGCTACATTTTTAGCAGTCTCCTGAAAGTAAGTGTATATAGTTTAGATCTCAATAAATCATAGCATCTGTGATACATAATATTAAGTCCAGATCAGCCCAACGAAGTCATTAAATGCGGGGGAAGAAGCAAAGTCAAATCTCTGTTAGTCGTTAAGAGTGCCTTTCAAATATAAATTTCCCACTGCTGTGAGTGTGTTCATGCAGCCAAGACTACTTACCATTCAGCTCTGCAAATGTTTTCTGGACCTTTACACTAGAGCTTAAGAGAACCTTTCACAGTATTTATGCTGTTCTCTGGTGGCTAAACACAAGAGGTCAGTCTGTCTTTTTGTCACATCTTATTGCAGAGTGTAGGTTTGGTTATGATTGGACTCGGGTCATATTTTGACTCTCTTTGGATTTTATTTCTCCCCAAGAACAGTAGTGTACATTGCTGTTCTGTGTTTGGCTGCTGAAAAAGGTGTAAGTTTACCGTAAAGAAGGACTGATGGGTGTGAGTTCTTTTAACTTGTAAACAAAGAAGGAAGCATTTATCCAATTTCAGGCTTATAAACCTTATCTGTGTATTGTTTATGTATAAGCAAAAATAATCAGCTGTGTAAACAAGAGCACTTTAAATTAAACTAAGGAAAGCTAGGCAAATCAGAGTCAGAGCTCAAATTCCACGCATATATTATCATGTCTTTAGGAGTATTGAGGCACTGGATTAGACCCACTTCATTCATCCACCATAGTTTTTTAGTTTTGTGGGAGTATGTTTGTTTGTTTAAGAAATTTTCTTGAAATGGTTGATGCATACCACTTCTGGGAACTTAATTCCACTGCAAAAAGGTGCTTTAAGCCTCAGTAATGTTCATGTGGGTATATTGTGGCCGTTGAATGATTAGCTGTTAAAACTTCTTTCTTTTTGTCTTGTTAAAGTAAGCTTTTAATGTAAAACAAGTAAAGTATATGTTCCAACTTGTGACTCTCCAAGTTACTTTAGTTAATAGAAGCCAAACTTAGTTGGTTTCTGTCTGCTTAACTGAGGCACTGGGATTTTTAAATTGTGCTGGCAGTATCTCCTTAATGTATTTGACTTAAAGGCAAGGATCTTGAAGCTGTAAGGTTTTCTCCAGTTTGCATGAAAATGGTCAGACAGATAGAGGGGCTAGATGCTGTTTACTTTTCCAGTGAGAAGAGTGCTGCTTGGCTTGCCTCTTGTGTGAATTCTTTCATGTTTAGCAGAGAAAATGCAAGAAACTATTAGTTCACAGTTTATAGAAGACTAGTGTGCATTCTTAATTGACTGATTTAAAATAAACGTTGTCAAAAAAAAGCACTTGCTCCTATTATTTGTGTAGTAATATATGTCAGCATATGGCCAGAAGAAGTGATAATACATCACTGCTCCCTATTTACTGTCTAGTGTGCAGCACTCTGTAGGGAATTCATGTAATGTGCAAAAGTGAACCGTGATGCCGGAACTATAGTGATAATGCACAGCTCTGTTTTTAATTTCATTTAACCCAAGACATTGCTGTCTCTTACTATTATTTAGTGCCAGTGGGTGATTAGTACATTGTTTTGTTTTGTTTTGAAATGCAGGAGAGAATAAACTAATGCTGATCAGTAGAGTAATCATATTGAGGAGATGATAAACACTGACATTTTGCCCTAAGCCAAGAGCGTGCAATGGTTGAGACTGCATAATCCTCTGGCCTGGGATGACCAAAAGGGTAAGTCAATAGTTGTAGTTTCTTAAGGGCTGGATCCAGATTGCTTAATTTGGGACTTGAACAGAATCCAGCATGTGAGTCCCAATCAGCAATGTGGAATGCCTTTTTCTATGTAATGCCATCTATTCCAGGCAGCTGAAAACACCAGGCACCCAGTCTGGTTGGCCTGAAATTGCCTGGGTATTAAGTGTTTACATACAATGCATACTCTGAAATGCCCTAGTCAGAGAAGATAAGTGATGCAATAATTTTTGCCTAAATTGGAATTGCAGCAGAAGTTAGGAAGCGTATTGGTACCTACATGTAAAGAGATGCCTGTATCTTACCTGTAAGTTTGTGCTGATCGTGCCTGACGTGTTAGCAGTTTTGAATTGGTTGTAGAAACACTGCTAAAGTGGTAGCAGTTTCTGCTTTTTACTTAATGGCATAGTGGTTAAAATACATGCCCAGGGAGTTGAGAAGGTCAGCTTAGAGCTGTCCTCAGCATGACATTCATTGAGTCATATCCCAGGAAACAGCATTAATTGTAAAGCTAAAAGTTCATACCACAGCCTAGTTGGACCTTGGTTCACTTCCATGTCATGCGTATTGCTGTGGCTTTTTTGGTTTGTTTTTTTTTTCTTCCAGGATCTTCCCCTGCAAGTTAATGTACTACACCAGCTGTCCCATCTTTTGTTGCCAGTAGTCTCAGTCTATCAGCGGTGGCCAGAATGAGATACTTGTGGGTTTGGCACCTTATGAGGGAGGAAATACCCATTTTATCTCAGTATCTTTCTCCCTGAGCCAAACAGGACTCAGTACTGATAATGGATTTTATTTTTGGGGGTAATACAAATGGTGTAAGATTTGTGGCAAAATGAGAAGGAAGGCTGTCTTCATAGCTGCCAGAGATTGAATAGTGCATTATCACAGAGTAGGCAGAAGATCTTTGCTTAGATAGTTCACATTATCACTTGTGACATGCCCATGAACTGTAACATTTGTGACAGCCAGAATGGAAGAAAACCCAGCATTTTACATGGAAAAAATAATCCAAGATTAAGTCATTGGCAGGCAGAAAAAGGACAGGAGACTGTTTCAGAGTCCTTACTCCTATTACAGTAGGGCAGCAGCTGTGGGTGGTCAATGAGAAAGGTAGCTTGAGCAACAAAGCCTATTTTAGAACTTTATCTGTGTGCTGTAGTCAGTGAGGACCTGCTTTAACTGTTAGGGGGTTTCTGAGGTTTAATCTTGGCTTATGTTTATTCAGTGGCTGGTTTACTAATGCATATAATTTATTGGTTATTTAAATACCAAACACACAAGCCAAAACTTGTTTTGGATGAACGAGTGGTAGTTGTCATCTCCTTTCACAAACTGATGTATGTTATTTCTGTATTTGAACTCTGTGCGAAAAGAACTACTCAAAATGTTTTAAAAATAATATTTTTTCCTCATATTTTATTAATCACACTGTCATATAATTTGATTAGAATTCATTTTAGTAGTTTCAGGATTGTTTATGTTGCTTGATATTGCCCCATTCTGCTAGAGGATTTTATGGCCGAACTGATGCAATTCTCTTATTAAAACCACTTGGCCCCTGTGCCACTTTGGATGCCATGACTGTAGTTGTTGCTAAGTTCAAGTTCATAGGTCTGCGGTTTAACTCCCCTGCTACACTGTACAAAATTACAACATAGCTGTGGGTTAGGCCAGCATAAAGCTGGCATGTTATGATGTGTCGCTACCAAGCAAAACCTACTAGTGAATTGGGCAAAGAGTTACTTCCTTCAGTGGAAATGTGGATCAGGGTGATGGTGTGATCAAAGTACTGCTGCTGTGTGCTAGAATAGCTCATCCAGGGAGCTGTTGCTGCTGGCAAGCTCTAATGACAAATTTAAGTAGCTGTCACTTGACTGAATCATGCCATAGAAGCGGCTTATCCCAGTTTGTTTCCAAGCAGAAAATTTATTTTAATTAATGTCTATTAACAATGCACAAAAGACCTTTTTCTCTTATGCATAATGTAGGTTATTATTGGCATGTGCTACAAGGCAGTATAGGATGTATATACTTTCTCAGTCATCCAGTTACAGTACAGATAGAATCCAGGGGCATCTTACTCAATTCGTTTGATCTTTATGTTCTGAATTGTTAAAAAATGAGGGAAACTTTCAAGGATGATGTGGCCTGGGAGAACACACATCTTTGAACTAACTAACTGAACATTCAGGGAAGTTCATGGGGTAGTGGTGTACCTTGAGGAGGAAATATCCCTCACGCATATCTCGGACAAAAAAAGTCTTCCTTCATACCTTTGCTAACTTTTGAAACATGAATGAAGTAAATGAACATTTTGAGAAATGAATGAAGAGTAAGTCACTGATTGTAGTGTTCTTTTCACTGACCTTCTGGGTCTTGGATTTCAGAATGCTTAAATATAGCATAAAAATTCTTATGCTAGGACATGCTAGTGTGCTGTGTAGGCATGCCTTTCCTAGGAAGACTTTGGGTGTCACCTTTGGTTTTGGTTGTTTGGGGTGTTTTTTAGGGAAGGGGAGGAAAGGCTGGTATGGGTTTGGTTTTGTTTGGATTTTTGTCTGTTTTTTTTTTTTTGTGTTAGAATGGCTGTTCTCCTTGTGATTTTCTTACAAGCTTTGGGTCAGCACTTCACTCTTAAGTGGTAAGAACAGAGTTTAATTTTTATGTGGCAAGTATGTCTCAACCTTGGAGGTTATTTGGAAGTGGTTACAGACAGTATATTTGTACCTATATGGTCTCCTTTCAGGAACTTTGGCAGCATAAAAAATTCTACCATAAAGATTTTCTGACTTTGATGGTCCTAAGATAACAGGAAAATCAGTCTGTCCTTCCTTTTGCATATGAAGGGACCTGAATAATAGTATTGTTTATACTGATACTGTTTATCTCTTGCCTTCCATGACTGGGCTACTTTTAATGACTTAAGTGTTTGCCATATTTTAACCATTTTAGGGACTGAAAATTTTTTTTTTTGCCTCACTATACTGTTGCTGTTTTTTGTTTTTTGAATGGTTCGGGTCTTCTGAGAGTGGAGCTTGAGCAAACTGAAGTTAAATTGATGTTGGTAGATTGAGTGGTTCAGAGTAGGAAGTTGGGTCTACAGTTCACCTCTTTTTCCTTCAAAACAAGGATCACTGGGCCATAGGTTCAGGAATGTATAATAAGAGTTGCATGTGCTGGTGACTTGGCTCAAAGTGGGCTGTAGCAAGGATACCAGTTGTCACTGAAGTGGGATAGATTGCACTGGGTAATGTGTCTTTATGGAAGTCATTTCGCTTGTGGGTAGGTGATTCAAATAAGCTTCATTGAGGTTGCTGGCAAGGTACCTGTGGCTGTTGCCTTAAGACAAGACAGATAGATGGTAGCGTCAAACACATAGGCATGGCACCAACAGAGTAAAAGCTTCTTAATTCTAGCATTACTGTTCATTCACTGATCCTGCTGTGTAACACTGGGCAAATTGTGATGCTTCTTGTACATGTCTCCTTAGCTCTAAAATTGTTATAATGACACGTTAGTCTGTTATTCTACATTAATACTGAGGGCCAGGAATTGCGGGGGGGCTGGGGTGTTACTTTTTTCTGTGTCAGACTTTTAAAATGTTGAATGTTACATACTTCTTGCAGCCATTTTTGTCCCTCTTTTCCCCTCACAACCCCCTCCAACCCTAGAATAATTGTGTAAGGAATTGTTAATTCTATTCAATTATTTGTATTCAGCAGGGTGAGGGTTTTGGGTTGTTGTTGTTTGTTTACATTTATTTGTTTAGTGGCTTAAATAGTTTCAAAGCCCAGTCTAATGAAGTATAATTGTTACTGATTTGAAATGGGCTTTTCTAGGTGTCTTCCAGCTACCATACTTTGCAAGTTTTGTACGCTATCAGTATTAAAATTGCTGATCTCTGGTAACAGAGCTTGTCTCATAATCCTTTTTTTTAAATAACAGGGTTATGTTTGAAGCTTCCCAATGATAAGGAATCTGTTCAAGCTCCCATGAACTTTCACAAATGTCACTGAAGAGTTCACTGGTTTCTTTGCTTACTTCCTTCAGAACTTTGTGGATTTATGTTATACAAACTATGTTCGTCTAACCTTTGCTGATAACCAGTGTGGTTGTATGTTCAGCACATTGTTACCACTAGCACCCAAACCCAGTTAATTTCAGGGATGGGCTAACTTTAATTTTGTACAATAGACCTGAAGGCCATTGATTAATCTCATTCTTTAATGAGAATCTTGATGTTCACCACCTTTCATTATTAGGACCCTTTTAGAACAATTTTGCTTTTGCAAGGGGCTGTATCTCCTTAACTCCTTGTGTCTCTTGGATACTTTACTTGCACAGATTTCCAACTTCCTGTGAGAGGGATTGAGCCAGGTGACCTTTTTAGAAAAATATTAAGTCTCTCTTAATTTTCAGGCACCTCATTATCTTTAGGTTATTACTTTCACTCACATTCTCTGTAAATAAAATAAAAGCCTTTTATTCGGGAGAGCAGATACCCACATAAAACTGAAATTCTGCCCTGCTACTGTAATGACCAAATTACAAACTATGAGTTACTTGATCACTTTCTGTATATTACTCTGGTGAGAATGTGAGGAGAAAGAGTATTTTCATTTACAAGCATATCTATAACTTTCTGGTTTACTGCTTTTCTTTTTGGTATGCCTCATAATTTTCCGTTCATTCTTTTATTATTATTGTTCTGGGCTGAAGATCTTAATTTTCATATATCTTTCTGCTTTCTGATTATAACTTTTCTGTGTGTAAATTATTATTAACATGTGAGATTGCCCGTAGTAAGTGTGATTACTCCTGTCTCCTGCTTCCCTTCATCTCTGAGATTTCCAACATAGTCTGTTCTTCCTGCTTTGACTGCCTTTTTTCAAATCCAGAGTGCCGGATATATTTACATGTCTTCACCTTCATGCTGTGTGTGCTGCCATAGCCAGACTAGCCTAGAATTAGCAGTTGTGGTGCCTCTTTTGAATTTACCTCTTTAATCGTAGTTCTCTAATTCTTTAAGTTTCTTTTTACTTTAACTATTTTTGTTAGTGTCCTTCTCCATTTCCTGTTCCACTTCTGTCTGTTTACTGTTGATATCTCTTGTTACATCTGCAGTCTTTGCCAGGAAATAAAATGTTTGGTCAGTGCTTTTTCTTATGTGTTTTTCTGTAGAAGCAACCAGATATGTTACAAATCTTGATCAGTTTTATTTAATTAGTCATTACTGTAAAATTCTGATATGTTACTCATTTTTCTTTTCACTTTCCCTGTGTATTTATAGTTTTTTTTTCAATGTCTTTCATATTCTAGGCACAACATAGGCTTTCCCATTGTAGAATGTTCCTCTGAAGGAGACTTCATTCTTTCCAAACCACCAGACACTGGGGGACTAATCTCTTTTGGCACTGTAGCTGAACAGCTGGTGTATGAATTGGGCGATCCTCAGCGCTATCTCTTACCAGATGTCACATGTGACTTTTCCAAAGTTTCCATCACTGAAATTCCAGGTTAGTTCCCTTATATGTTAAGAGATCTGTGTCAGTGAACTGAGCTATTAAACTAAAGCATTTATTTGAATTTCCATGCTTTATCAAACTAAAGCAGTTAATTTCCATGTTTTCTCTGCATATTCCTTGTTCAATCAGTTCCTTAAAGTGTGATATGTATTAAACTGATTTTTCAATGACTTTTGCTAGAAATTCCTTTAGAAGTTCTGATCATGCTCTTGATTTATCTTGTTGGCTGGCTAATTTAAACGTTTGCTCACTGCTTCTTTTGCTTTACTTCTTATTCCATGCCTTGCACATACCAAGTCTTTAAACTGTGTTCTGGATAAGCAACATTGAGACAGCTCCACTATGATTTCAGTATTCTTTTTAAACTGCTGCTCAGTTTCTTTCCTAAAAAGAAAAAAAATATTTTTGTACATTTTTTTTCTCATATGGCATTTGAAATGTTAGTAACAATGGAAAAGTTGTGTCTTTCAAAGCACTACTTGGTAATGCTTTTCTTAGGCATTTGGTTGGATCTTCTTAACTGGTAGAAGTGTGCTGAGGTACAGGATTTCCACCAAAGAATGTCAGTTTGAAAAGGTCCATTTACTATTCTTGAAACTCTCAAAAGCCGGTAGATTAAAGGTGGATATGTATGTTCTGCATTTAGCTTTAGAAACAAAACAAACAAAAAGGCCCCAGGCTTAAAAGATTTGAAGATCTGTTGGTTGCATAAGACAGCTTGGAAAAAATGCTTAGCTATGGTCATTTGATGTTTGTTTTTTACCAGATCTGTATTATATATTCTTTCATTCTAATGGAAATTACCTGTGACAGTATGCTGAGTGTCTTTATAAGACTTAGAAGAATTGATATCTTAAAATAAAATCTTACTGTGATAAAACTTAAAACACCGTAGCATCAAAAATGTTTTGCATCAATAATAAAAGTACTGTAAAATTGCACAGTGAACCAAATGGCTGTTTGATAAGACCAGTTTGCTGCTCTTAGCCACTAGTTCTTATTATAAAACTAAAAAAGAAACCCTAACCTTCCTATGAACTTTTAGCTTGCAAATGACCTGATATGACATGTTTGAACTTAAAATGAACTTCCACATGAACTTTCAGTTAGCCCTCTTAGAAATGTAACAGATGGAAAATGGGCAGATTTCTTAAATATTTTTAGTTTGAAGTGCTTTGACACGTACACCAGTAAAAACAAGCAAGCTATCTATTTTTGCTGTTTACATTGCTGATTTTATTGTCCTGCTGGATTACTTGCAATGTTTGAACTGAGAGGTGCTTCTGTTTTCTTTTTGTTGATGCATGCTATGCATTTTGTTTTGTTCAGGTTTTTTTTCTTTGTATTACTCCTTCACCTGTGTGAAACTCTTTCAGATTTTTCACTCTGACTGTAGGGATATCATTCTTTATTGAGAATTAAATTAGTTTTATGTCTGTCTAGCAGAGAGAGTGATGATGTTATCTGAGTGATGTGTAAGATTTCTGCTGGTCACATTCACTTTTTCAGATAGGTTCTGATTTGATCTTTTCAGAGTATTTGTGTAAAGCTTTGAACTGCTTCCTCAATATTTGCAAGCTCAGGTTAACTGCAAGTGAGCTATAGTGTAATGCTGTCTGTCAGACTTGAGGTCTGACGTTGATCCTGCATGGCTGATTTTCAAGGAGCTGCGTCTGTTAATTTTCTCCAGTTCAAGCTTGAACCTGATGCCATGATGGCAATTTTCCGCAGTTCCCTTTTGGTATTAATATTCCTAATACTGAACATGGTAATTGCCCTGGAACATACATTCAGACTGTTCTGTTTCTGTTAATTGACAAAAAGCCTAAAGTTGTCTCTTCACTTAATAAGCTATCAGCAAATAAGCTGTCATTTTTGGTTTCTCATCTTTGTTGTACTGTTTCTTTACCAAGTGAAGGACCTCAGTTGACTCCAACCAAGTACAGCAAATTGTTTGCTCTGTGTGTGTGCAATAACTTTATGTTAAGTGGAGAATAACTGTTGGGCCTGAAGTCCTAAGGCTGCTTTCTATGTTAAGTGTTTTTTAAGTACATGAATAAACATTTCAGTCATTCTGTTAAAAGCCTCCTTGAAATCACAAATTCAGTCACTAATTTGTGTTTGGGTTTCTAAGGCAGGGAGGACTGTTTCCTGAAAGGTTCTCTCTTCTGTGGCAGTGCAGCTATCAGTGACTTGCTTTTTAATTAAGTGCATTTGCTTAATAATTATCACAGAAAAATGTCTTTGAAGTTATGTTGAAGAAGGTTAAATACTGATTTTTAACCACTGTAGGTTTTGATGGTGGGGCAGTGAAAGTTCACGGAGCAAAAGGATCGCCTCCTTCAGCATTTTATAAGGTATTACCTCTTTGTGTGGCAGGTATTTTTGATTTGCAAAATTTTGTATTTTGGAGAAAATACTATATATTTTCTACCCTAAACTGTTACCACTTTAAAATCCTCATCCTTCCCCTTGCCAAAGAAATACATTATTTGGTACATAAAAAAATGTTAATTCATCTAACAAGCATATCCACAAACCTACTGTGAAGGCTGGAATCATTCTTTTGTACTACTACTACTAATAATTTTTAAAACATCTTAGCCCAGTTACACCTTTGTACTTGTTGATTTTTATACTGGTGTGTTAAATTTCACTTTCCTTGTGAAATTTATCTACCAAGTTTTCAAAAGGTAAGTGATGAGTAGCTACATCTGTCAAGAGAGGAACTAAGAATGAGACAGATCATCTCCTGAAATGCTCTGTTGAAAGAAAACTGCAGTGCCAGTAAAATCGTGAAGTTGTCTGTTTGTCTTCTAGTCTATAGTCTTCTAGTGGTGGTCTTTCCCTGAATGAATGATAAGGTAATACAGGTCTAGTGAAGTATCAGTAGGGCTGGATCCTTTTCTTGTTTAAACTAATGTCAAACTGACTTTTACAGAAGCAAGGTTGAGATCAGAAATTAACTGCTTAGTACAGCCATATCAAGTGAGTTCACCTAAGCAGGGAACTGTGCTAATATTTATGCTTAAATAATATAATGTGTGCCTGAGCATAATTTTCTTTGAAACTTTTCACTGCAGTTTTAAAATATTTCTGAAACTCTCAAAACCATTTTTTGGTAAGTTTTGTTTTTTTAAAAGATGCAGTATTTAAAAAATAAATAATAATGTCACCCCAGCAGGTTTGTTTTTTGTAAAGGCAGAATGGAAGAGCTCTCTAGAGACTCGGTAATTAAAGCATACTCATAAAGCAGTTTTAGAATTTAGTAGTACACCACAGGTCACTTTACTTATGACCTTAGTTAGTTTTTCAGTTCTGTATCAGCTTTATGAAGAAGGAATTTGTTATTTTTAAAGTATTGTGGAAGTGTAATCTGAACATGAATTTTTCTAAACTTTCATCTAATGAAGCGTTGATTTTTGTTCTTTTTTGGTAGGCAGCCTACAATTTCAGCACAATATTGTCTGTCAGCTCTTTGCATTTGCTCAGAATTGCTAGTTCCAACAGTTCAAGTTGCATAATGCTGGAACAGTAAATTCATTTCTGAGTCTGTGTCTGCATTATCTGCATCTGGGAATATCTCTGTCTTTTTAATCTGAAAATAACATTTTTGTTGTGTTTGAAACAACAGAAAAAATAAAAGTAAATTATAAGCACATTTCTAAAAGATGTTCAGTTTCAAAAATGTTTTGTTGTTCTGTGGGGTTTTTTTGTTGTTTTTTTTCCATTTATGGCCATGCATTATGGTTATTACTGTCACTGTATTACAGCTCTATTAAGCAGCTATAGCACTAGAAGTCTAGTAAGATGCCTGTTAGTTCTATGTTCGCACTGCATAGCATGTTCTTTTGTGTGTTCATATGTATTTGATATTTTTCCATATCTTCTTCAATACTTGTGGGAAGCTTGCATCTGATCTGTTTTACTGTGATAGGTTATTCAGCTTTTCAACATTAGAATGTGTTCCATGTAGCAAAAGTGATAAACACAGGAAAATTTAAGGATAACAACGAGAAGTGATTCCAAGTTCCAGAGTTTTGCAGATTTGACTCTTCCTCCAATACAATTCTGAATTTTAAATAATAAGAGGAAATTCGTGTGGTGATGGTTCCTTTCTATTCTGCTTCTCCTTTATGTGTGGATGATTGTCAGAGAGCATTAATAGCATATCAGTACTGAATCCCATGTAATTTTATAATCCCTTTATCATCAGGTTAGTGCCACTTATCTTGATGGCTTCAGAGCTACTGCTGTCTGTCCAGTGGGAGGTCCAAAAGCAGTACAAAAAGGAAAACACACTGCAGAAGGTATTCTGCAGAGGTTAGTATCTGTGTCTTGGAAGGGGTTTGGGCTTTTTCTTTTCAGAGATGATGAAAATAGAACTGTAATATACAATGCCAACCATATGAACCTTGTAAGAACCCTAAAAGACTGTAACCTTGCAGTTCAGAAAACATTTCAAGACTTAAGTAGCCTGTTTAGGAAATGTGTTTTCAGTGTATAACTACACTTCGGCTACATTTGACAGAGAAAGAAAGGTCTCAAATACTATTGAAAATAGATGGCTGGACAGTGGAGAGAATTCGAAATTAATGATGGGAAAACTGTGCTTCAGATTAAAATTTATTCAGTGCCAGAGAGCAACCCTTGTGAAACTGTTTTTCACTGATTTTCACAGAACTTGATTAAAAATCCTAGTGCTATGAAATGTAGGCAGTTTGTTTTTTGTTATTTAAAACAAAATTCTTAGTTCCTGGTAAAACCTGACTAACGGTTTTGTTTCCTTGAATAATTTTACAGTTGTATGACAGACTGATGAACCTCTAGTCATATTGTTACTTGTATTTAAGAGGAATCCCTCTTAACCCAATTCCATATCCTCATGGAAGTGTTGGAGCATTTACTCCAATAGTCCCAACCTTTCTAGACCTCTAGTGAGGTCAATCTCTTTGTGCCATGTTTTATAAAACTCCCTGTTACACCCTATTACAGGCCTATGCAGCAAGTACAGTAGGATAGACACCTGTCAGAAATGCAAGGTGTGACTTACTGCTTATGTGCCCGTGTACTGTGGTGAAGGAGGAGCTATGTGATTTCACTCGAGAGACGTAGCAGATGACAGCAGGCTGTTGCAGGATGTGTAATGAAGTTAAGGAACCTTTTCTTAAGAGTCATGTGGATAAGTGTATGTGTCCAAGAGCTACTGAGAAAATCAGTGAAAGGAAAGCCTTTCAAGAGCTGTTAAAATACAAAGAGGCCTCCAGAGTCTCTGAGGAATAAAAAAAACAAACCCACAACCCAAGAACAAACCAAACAAAACAAAAACCCAACAGAACAAAAAAAAAAAAAAAGGGGTATGTTGTCCCTTTTGTGTTTGCTCTTGGACATTATTTCAGACCAGACTGCTGATTGAAACAGCTTGTGGTGGTTAGTGCCTCTACTTATTTTCTCTATTAGAAAATAAATCCAGCCTGCTTGCTGTGCTGTCCTGAGTAATCCTCAGATGAGGGCTGATGGGAGATAGCCAAAGACTGGTTAGCTGGCTTGCTAAGTGGCCTCTAGCCCATGAGACATGCCTGCAGCAGCTGTGGTTTGTTCTGTGTGTTAAAAATCACAACAGTATTACCCATAATACGTTCTCCATCTCAAACAGTCTTAACAACTTAATGTGTGAAATCATTTATTCAGCATCTTTGAAAGATTTGTCTGTGTCAACCCAGACATAGAATAAGAGTTAAGCTATTCTGATTACCTTCAGAGAATGTTCTACCAGCAACTACATCTCATCAGAAAGTTACAACTTCAGTCTTTTCACCACTTCCTGTTGCAAGAGAATGTTGTAAGGACATGATCTGTCAGCTAGCCAGCTTCTAGTCCATTACAGGTTAAACTCTGTCCTGTAGTCTAATGGCAATGAGTACAGAATAAGGTGCACAGATTTAAGGTGCTTCAATCATATAGGTCAATCTAGTTGGCAGTCCAAGTCGTCAAGCAGTTTTGGCAGTTTGTAATACGACTTCTTTCATTTCTTATCTGCATGCCTATACTTTATTTGTTTATTCATTTTCAAAAGCAGGAACAATTTGGCAAGTATGTATGTGAAGAAGTCTTTTTGGAGTAGTCTTTGGTGTCCTTTTATTTTTGATGGTACTCTGTTGCATTACCAAGACACATGAAAGCGCTAAAGGTTACCCACAGAATGTATTTTGAACTCTAGGATCTCTAAAGGTAACGTCTGTAGATAAGTAACTTAAAATAACTTACTAGACATGGTTTGCAAATTTAGGTACCTTAAATCAAGTGTCTGTCTTTCTGTGGTGGTAAAGATGGCTACCTTATTTGTGGTATGTGGACCACCTTCATCTCATTACAACAATTAGAAAATCATATTTTCTGTTTAGGTTGTCTATACTGCTAATATTTGCAAAGATGATGATATATTAAAAGTGTCTTTAAAATGTTTCACTGATGAAAAATATTTTTCTCATCCTAACATGATTCCAGTGTTTCAACTGACAAAATCTTTTATACATCTAGAAGGACACCAGATTATTGGGAGATCAGTTTAGGTGCTTAAGCATTCAGCTGACTTTTCCAATTTGCAAGATGTTAATAAATTGGACTGATTTTAATGGTTGGATTCTTTTAAAACTTTTTTCTAACGTTTACTGTGATTTTTGTGATTTTTTTTTTTTTTTTTTTTTTGGGGGGGGGGGGCGGACTGGGATGGGACGGGGGGACAGGATTTGGACCTCAATTGATTATGGTTTTAAAACTGTAGCGATCATTTTCAGTTTTAGTGCTTGAGTGTTGGGCTGTTTTTTCTAATAGTTGTAGCAAACAGTCTGTTTAACTCAAATTTAGTATTTGTCAAAAAATTCTTGGCTCTCTTAAAGAAGTGTGTGTTTTCATGGTGTATGAAAAGGTAATATTCAGCCCCATTATTAATCATGATTGGACAAACTTGGCGCTCTTGACAGAACGTGCTTTTGGTGGAAATAACCTTATAGAAAGAGTCAGAGGGCTTTCAGTGCCAGACTGGAAAGGTATGAGTAATAAAGAAATGTTCTGTCCAAAAACTTGACCTACTTTTTGGTATTTGAGCTGTATGTTCAGGAATCTCAAGTAAATATCTTTAAGGTTTGAAGAGAAGTTCCTTCTTCAGTTTGACTTTTTTTTGATTCATTGGTGCCTGTGATGTAACAAGGTAGTTCCATGTACTTACTGGTAGTTCATAATGCCTTGTAGCACAAACAGAGCTAAAAACTGAATTACCAGTATGAAAACCAGGAATACTGCATATCTGTAACTACATTTCAAGCTGTCTTTCTTTTAAAGATAAAAGTAAGAGCTGAAATCCATTTATTTGACTGTCATCTTTCAATTAATGTAAATAAACAAAAGGCTCAGTTTGAAACCTGGGGATAAATTCAGAGGTATGACTTCCTTGTCAGTAATTGCTTGATTTGTAGTATTCAGATATGTTTGCTTAGTGTAAAGTATTCATAGTCCAGTTTACATGACAAAGCTAACCCCTGTGGACCACACAGGACTTCTTCAGGTAATCAGGAAGTTTACTAATAAAAATCATTTGTTGCAGGACTCGTCTTATTTTCAGTCAGCTTGGGTATGAAGATTACAGTGCAGTTAACATACAGGTTTTAGGGTCTGAAGATACATATGGACCTCATGCTAGAAGGAGTATAGATGGTGTAAGTATTCAGTGGAGTGTTCTTAAACTTTTACTGACCTCTCTTAATCTCTCCATATTGTTATCTTTTCCACAACTTTAAAGGAAGTCACTATCATCTTGGGACTTTCATCCCATCATCTTGCAAAGAATTCAGTGTCACTACTTAGTGTATAAAATTAACACTGACAAGGTCTTTGCAGTATTGGATCTTCCAAAAGCACTGATATGAAATCTTACAAAAATGTTGTTGTAGTCTGTTCTAATGTTATTCATCTAAAGAAATGTCTTCTTATAAAAGTTCTCATGATGTAAACTTAAATTGCATTAGATGTAACTAAAAGACCACAGGAAATGACAGAATTACTGTTACCTCTGCAAATTTAAAACTGTCTGTGAGTACTATTCATGAAACAATCATCAACTATATAATTCTGCATTGTAGTTTGTGACTTAATAAATGCATATGTAAGAATATGAATGATGGCCATAGCCACTGCAGCTGTGATATGCCATGGTCTGTTTTCCAGATCTAGAATATGAAAGTTTAGGGACTTTTTGGTTGGTTGGTTGGTTTGTTTTTTGGTTGGTTTTGGGGTTTTTGGTTTTGTTTTGTTTTTGTTGTTTTTTTTTTTTGAGGAAAAAGACTTCAAATCTTGTCCTCACTTACATGCACTTTAAATATTTAGACAGTTTAGTGTATTCCAGAACGGCAGCATTTATTTCTTCTTTGACAGTGGCAGTCTTGCAACGCTCTTAAGGTACATGTGGCAAAACTCAGCTCTGAGGTCAATCTTAGGAGTGCTGACACTTAAAATAGCTGACAATTTGTATGTATAGGAAACAAGAACATGATGTGGAGAAAGAGAGCAAACATCTTACTAGTGTTCTTAGAAATTGGGCAAGTTACATCTGTAGCTGCTCATTTTAGTGCTTCAGCTTCCATTTCATTCTGCCCAGGAGCAAGAGTTGCTTCATGAGAAACAAGGTCTTTTTCCTTTCAGGACCATAAACCCTGCAATGTGAAGTGTGTTGCTGAGATTGCAGAATAAAAGTTTTGAAACAAAGGAACAAGTGTTCCAGTTGTTGAACTTGTCTGTATTCTGTTCATACCAGCTCCTTATGGTTATCTGCTGTAATACATTCTTTAATGTTACATAGAAAGTTTTCTGTCTCATCCTATAGAGTGAAGAATTATTTGAAAAAGAGCGTTTTTTTTTTCTTTCTTACTGTTCATTCTGTCTTGTTAAGAGTACATTATACGAATTTTCCAAATGAAATTGCGTAATTGTAATTATTTTCTGTATTTTCAGCCTCAACTCCCAGGCCCTACATTAAAAATAGTGTTATCTCTATTATATGTGCTTCCCATACATGCCTGAAATAGTATGTGAGAGCTAAGGCTGAATCACACTATTGCCTTTCCCCTTTACTTGGTTCCTCCAAAAGTTCAGAAGACACTAACCCGATGAGTTTTCATCTGGAAAGTACCCATAGTAGAAGGGGTGGGGGGTGGTGTTTGCTTTTCCATTTAAAATACAAAGTCATGGAATCCTAAGGAGACATCTGCCTTTTGGGGCTTCATGTAGAAATAATGTAGTCTCTTAAATGCTCTTTCCAACTGTGTTTCCATCCAAATTAGACATGGTTATTTGGGTTGCAAATAACAGTGCTCAAAATCAAAGCTATGTTGTGTTAGGCAATGTATTAACACAGCAGGAAAACAGTTCTTGCTTTGAAGGTTCTAATGTCTAAATTTAGAGAGAAGTAAATATGTATATAAATACCAAGACAGGATAAGTTGAACAACAGTTGGAGCTCAGTGTGGTTGGCTGGTGTGGCTCGACTAATCCTCATACAGGTCTGTCAGCAGGTCTGTCAAACTGGGTGCAAAGGTTTGCCTTTGCAGATGTAAAATCGCTGTACATCCTGTTTTATGTAGGCCTGTATGCTGTAGTTTGAGCTGCTGTGTGGAGTCTTGACTGTTCTGACAACACAAAGTATCCTGAGAAATGAAGAAATGCTTGCCTCCTCTCTTTTCTTGGTCTTCCTCACCTCTTTATGTAGTGGTTGTTTGCCATTCCAATAGCTTGCTTTAGCAGCAGCAGCCCAGCATGAGCAACAAAGGGACCTGAGTCAGTACTGAGTAACTTAATTAAGTAACTTAATTAAGCAGTATCTCCTGCTTTATTGCTTTCTGTGACCGGGGAAGAAGGTGGTTATGATAGTGTCACAGCATCAGTGAGTTCATGGTTTAGAGATACTTGATGTGTTTCATGTGAAAGATTGATTACCTATTAATAGTACATCAGGTATTAAGAGTTTGGTGTATTAAAAACTGTGCTGTGTATTCTCGTCTTATACTAACCATTTGTTAACCAGGTTACAACACACTGTAAATGTGTTGTAAACACATCTTAAGACGATGGAATATAACTTTTTTCTATTTTTTTATTATGATACTGTAAGATAAATGACTTTAGAATAGTCTGTATATCTGGATTCATCCACTCAAAACAGGAATCAGCTTATTATTTTCACAGACCACTGTATTTTGGATCTGTGAGCAAGGAAGAAAACGTGGTAGTTTAGAACAAGGAAGCAGATGTGAGTGCATAATTATATTTTTTGCAAGAGTATTTCCTATTATTTGTAGTAATTTAATCTTGTGGTAGGCTGTTAAATGGAAATACTTGGAAGTAATGTTAAATGCATTTGTTGAATGTGGCATGGCTGCATATTTTCTGTGTAGCAACAAGAATGTAGTGAAACATTTAAATTGGAAACCTGTTTGGTTTCTTATTTATATTATCTTGATCAGGACATCTGTTTCTGTATTCATAGAGGGAAATTTCTGTCCTTTCAGTGATGCATTCCTGCCTGACTTTTCCAACCCTATTCTGTGATACATGGTCTGCTGGAATAATATAACCTCTCCTACATTGGCTCTGCTAAACTTTTATTTTAGGGTTTATCTACATGAGTATTGAGGTAAACTAACAAAAATGTGAACCAAGTTTGCAGGATTTCCTGAATCATAGTAGTGTGGTAGGTATTTTCCAGGCTGGGATCTTGGAGGCTGAGAAATGAACTGTGTGTGTCTCCCTGTGAGTATATCTACACAGGGGTACCTAAGCAAGCTGAAAGCAATTACCTTTATCATTACAGTATCTCAGAGTACCTCTGTGAGGATATGCCACTAGAATAGGAAATAGAGAAAAATCATCTTTCAAATTTATGAATATTTAGAACTTAGGTTTAAACGTACTGAACCAAGAAGGCCCTTTATCATTAGGTTTTCCCTGATCACCAGCTATAAAGTCAGGAAGCTTTCCTGCCTTGATATAAGCTGGCATAAGGGAGCTTGTTTGTGTTGGGATTTTGTCATGTATTTGAGCTAGAATGGAGGGTTTGGTAGTGTGTTAACATAACAGTCTCTTTGGGATACTCTTACAGTAGCCAGAACACTCGTGCAGTGTATTACAACATTTATGATAAATACCATTTCAGCAGCTGCCACTAGGAAATACATCCATGTTCCTACATTGCTGAAGTTACTTAAATTCCTTAGATTGACTTGAGATTTTGAATGTTGACATGTTCAACAGTATTGCTTTTAAGAAAAATGTTCTGTATACAGAGAGGAAAATTATACTAATTTACAAGGCATCAATATTTTTAAAGTTGATACTCGGATTTCACATCTGGTTTATGTGGTTTTAAACAACGCAGCTTTACAGAAATGTGGGCAATTAAAATAAGAATTATTTTAAGATTTAGGAGATGCATTAAAAGGTGGGCAATTTAGGAGTTCAGATCCAGCATGTAGTTTCTTAGGAAAAAACATAAGTTCAAAACATTTAGTCAAGTATTAAAATTGGGAGTGAGAAGTAGGGGGTGGAATACATTTTATTTTGTTATGATACTGTTAGATTCACTAGAATTCTAAGGAGTAAATTTCCATTTTGTCAGGTGTGTGAGTCTTTTCACTGCTATCTGCGTAAATTGACAGTGGGCTAAAGTAATTTTAGAATTGACATGGTTTCTAGTTCTTGTAATCAGGGACACCTATTCGACTTTGGGTAGTGAATAAACATCAAAACATACAGCAAAAAAGGCTGAGATGTGGTTTTAGATGAACTGAATTAAATTTGTGATCAAACAACTGCTTGCATATAATAACAACTTCAAGATGTTCATTTTTTCTCTTCTGTTCCTATCTATTAGACAAAGGATGCTGTTAGCATGAAGAAAGGTTCCTCTGTCTGTACAGTGTTAAGTCATGAAAAATTCGGTGCTGTGTAGGGTTTTGCTGTTCCTTAGCCTAGAGGTGAGAGGACTCCTTTAAGGAGTCATGGCTCTGTTCTTTTCATCTGACCATAAAATGTGTCTCCTCTCCTCCATACATCAATCCCCAACAATTTGAAGTTGATGCTGTTGAATTCTAGCAGCATCTATATCTTTCCTGTGTGCTGAGTGCTTAGAGTCTCTGATGCTTTCAGAAGTGTCACTGGTTTCTGCATTTGTAAAGAATTATTTTTTTTTTGCTAAAATCCATTAAAAATGTTACACTAGCCAGAAAAATATTATTTTAAAATTATTATATGTAAGGAAAAAGTTGGAATAAACTAAAGCCAGGTTATTTAGTCATGTGTATTCACTTCCTGGTATAGTAAACATCTGCCATAAATTAAAAAAGGGTTGGATCTTCCAGAATCCAATAGTTCCTTTCTTCCAGGAGAATGTCCTTTTCCGTACCCTAAGTAGCTATATGTTCAATTTTTTTTTCTTTTTTACTTTTCTACATTTTTAGTAGAACAGCTGCCATATCTACAGAAACTCTTTAGCCAGGGCATTTAGAGAGGTGTGAAGTGCTCTGAGCTCTATAGAACTGTAGAATAAAAGAACCCAAAAAAACCCAACCAACCAGACTTTGGTGTTTTGTTTGTTTTGTTTTTTCATTTTTTTTCATGCCTTCATGAAATACATCCTTTCCTGTTTATATAGAAAAAGAACATAAACACTGGAAGAAATACCCTAGTATCTTGTGGTCAAACTCCTTTGTATTTTACATTGCTATAAGTAAGCCAAGAATTTCATGTAACATTATCAAAGAATCTTTAGAAAGTTCTTTGTGTTCACTAACAAAAAAAAGCTGACTTTGACTACCAGAGAGAAGTACTCTGCTGCAAAACTCTATACTTGAAGTAGTTTTGCATGAGAAACTCCTGACCAGTAGATCTTGATGTCTTATGCAGTCCCGTTTCATATGTATGATTGAAGTGGTTGTGCTTGTGCTTTGGGACAAGTAAGAGACACTTAAGGACAGACTTGTATTGTGAACAGGCTTCATATTTTTAGATTCAAAGGCAGACCAAAGGTGGTTCTTACTGATGGATGCAGATTCTCAAATAAATACAGTCTTTGCCCTCAGTGAGACCTAAAGTTCATTCTAAGGCTTTTGCCAATGTATTAATTCCAACAGTAGATTTTGTGGTGGCAGAAAGGAGATTTTTAAAGAAGTAAAATCTTAAGTGAGAGAGTTCTCATCTGCAAGGGTTAGCTTAGTCTTAGCTGACTGCAGATTAGGGAACAGAGTACTGGTTGGGTTTCCCTTCAGAAGAGATCTGCTCTTTTCTCTGGAAACGTGGTGGCTTTTACAAGTTATATTTTCCTATTTAACTCCCAAGGATTAGGTTTGAGTTCTTTTCTGTGAGATTTGCTTACTTCTTGATGCTAAGAAAAGTAATTCTGGCTCTTGATTTGACCCTAAAGTATTCTCAGTGCACTTCAAGTAAGAGGAGAGTTTGTTTGCCAGTTCCACTGAGTGAAGCCAAGTGTTTAGTTTCGTATAAAGTACTGTTAGTTCTAGTACTTTGAGAACAGTGGAGAAACAGCACAGTGTTCTAGCAGTCTGAAGTATCCAATAGCTGATTTCATGGTAGTAAATTAAAAACAGATAATGAAATGTTAACAGAAAATTATAGTGATGCTGGATGAAAAGTCACTGAATGAAAGTTGTAGCTTGTGGCAGTGAGCACTAAATATTTCAGTTAAATATAACTTGAGTGCTGAGCTGCAGTTATTTTTCAGTTTGGTAAATTTAACTGACATTCTGCATCTAAGCTAATCTAATGTCTACTATTTTGAAGCAGGGTCCTCGAGAAGCTGTTATTTGGCTTGCTGTACACCATAAGCAAAAAGAAGCTGTAGAAATCTTCTCCAGAGAAGTTGCTTCAGCTGGAACTGGCATGGGTAAATATTCACGTTGTCTTCTGAGGATTTTAAAGTTACTTTTTTACTTTTCCATGAGCATGACTAGCATCCAAAACTTAGCCGTGTTTGATTTCATTGCACTGTGCATAGTGAAATTGTAAGTTTTCAAAGGGTATTTATGTTTGGTGTAGAAATACAACCTGTAGATGTTAGAAAAATGATAAAAGGATATCTCTGGAAGCCCACCTTTTTGTTTCCTTGATACTCTTTATTCTTCCATTGCTACTAATGTCTTCCTGCCTTTTTTCCTTCTCTTCAGTAGTCTTTGTTTTCCTGCCCACGGTTACACCAATGTGCAACATTGTCATACTCTGAAAGTGCTGGGTTTGTTCAGGTTTCAGTTTTCCCTTTCACCATCATTCTTCACAGAATGAAAAAAGTAAAAATTCTGCAGTACTTGGGTTGGGTGGAGTATGTACAGCATTGAAATTGAGTTACCGCAAGATGCGGACATCTGTGTCTTAAGGTGGCTGGCAAGCTTTCAGTTCATGTTATCAGGGCTTTTCCTGGTGAAACAGTGTAGAATCAGGTTGGGCAGTCTGCATGAATGATGGTTAAGGTGCTAGTTTTGTTTCCTAGAGAAATAGCTTAAACTTTTTAGAATATATTGTAGCAGTTATTCTCTAAAATATAATAATAAAAAAATAATTAAATAATAAATAATTTCATAGTAAGACTGATAGTGAGCAGCAATGGGAAAGACCATATTTCTGGAGTCATTTATTGAAAAACTGAGGAAAAGCAGGGACAAGTTACAAGTCCTTCCTAATGAGCAGCAAGGAGAAAGGAGGATTTGTTGTCTTGCAGGGCAATGTCACCTGAACTTAAGCACTTAATTCCATTATTTTTTGGACATTTAAGAAACAAAGAACAGTCACTTGGTCTGTACCAGACAAAAAGAGGAAAAAAGGGAAAGTTTTGGTCATCTGCTTGGACTGCATCGAATGATTGTGGAGTATTGTGGAGTATTGTTTTTAACTTTATTCTTCTTGCAGTTGGTGTTTGTTACTGTAAGTGGTGTGTGGACAGTTGTACAGATAAGAAGTTTCATATATGGTACCTTTTATCAAAGAATCTTCAAGCTGTGTAAACACCACCGACTAACCTTTCTAGTGTCTAGTAACATTGGAAAGTACTCTGCTTTATAGATGGTTTCCTGAGATAGCGGAAGGAAGCATAACCACAAAAGAATTTGGAGTCCTCGGTTCTGCTTTCCTGAAAGAAATGCTAGAGGAGAACTCCACCAGTATTTAAGGGAACCGGGTTGGCTAAAATTTAGGAATGGGGAGTAGAGGAGGTGAGGGTTAGAGAAAGAAGATTTGATGGTTCAGAATAAGGGTGGAGAGAATTTGATGGTTTTCAGTAATAAGAGAGGCAGCACCAAGCCTAGTCTGTTAGATTTACTTGTGTTTATCAGATGCCTTTTTTGAGATAAAATCCAGTGATTAAAAAGCTTATTGCAACAATTGCGTAAAAAAAGGTATTAGTATTTTTAGTAGCCAGAGGGGCTTTTGATCTTTCAAAATTTTGGGGGAATTTTTTGTTATACTTTTTCAGACATGCTTCACTTATTGCAGTGTTGAGGTTTAAGAGGTTTAAAACTTAGGTTGTTAGGTCTTGTGTCAGAGATGTGCTTTTTAGCTCTTCTTGTGAATTTAAAGTCTTGATGCCAGTATTTCTGACTTTTTACTTATTTTGCAGCTTTTTTCCAAAATATATTTTGATACATTTTTGTGTAAATGTAATGGATAATAAAACTTAGGCTACATAAAAGGAGAGCACTAACTTGAGAGTGCTGATTATCCCCCACCACCCCATTTATGGTAGATCTTCTGATAATGAGTAGAAAGGCATCTCAGGGCATTGTGCTGATTTGAAATTCCCTATTTCTTACGAAATCTCATCCTTGATGTCGGAAAGAAATGATAAAGGGATACTACCTATGTGTTGGAATGGGCTGAAGCATGTGTGTGTTTGTGCTCTGCAATGTAGGCAAGGGGTTAGACCTGCAAGATCAAAGTTTGAGAAGGTGGCATATTCTAAAAAGCTTCCATAATCTGAAGTGAAAGACTGAGATTTTCATAGCTATTCCCTAATATGTTTTTCTAATCCTTTTTAAATTCCCAGTGTTTTGTTGAAGACCAATGGGCACATGAGTGTACTTGTACAAAAATTTTCTGAAGTGTTACTAAAACTGCAGATGTGATTCTTGAGGCCAGAGAAGAATTTGAAGTTACTGTATATAGACATGTCATATATTAGAGAGCGATTTGTTGTTCATTTACTGTTTGGAATGGAAGGCTTTTAGTGTAAACTTCTGTTAAGCATGGTATTTAGTCTGCCAGTTTCAATACTTTGTCAGTTTTCATTTGGATTATGTTGTTCTGAGGAGTTTAAAAGGGGATACAAGCTATTAAAAAATATATATATGCTGACACACCTAATCCAATTACAGTTAATACCTGAGTTTGTTTAACTTTTGATTGGTAAAGGTATACTTTGTTTATTTCTCAATAGTTTGAAAGTTGATAGTAGCCTTTTTTTTTTTTTTTTTTTTAACAGCAATGAGCAAGTTTGGTTTTATGCATGTATGGTATCCTGAAAAAAAATAAAGATTTCAAATGCATCTGTGGTCTTCACAGCTATTTTCTTGTTCTATAAAGTAAGCTTTTCTATACTTGACAGTGAAAAATCCTGGACACACAGACTCAGATTTTTAAATCTGCAGGAGCCTGTGGGAGTTCAGTGCAATTCTGCATTGCCCAGACTATGGAAATACACCTTCACTTCATAAAAGCTAGCAATCACAGACCATGTTTGTACTACTCAAGGAAAATGTCTTCATTATATACAGTCTGGTCAGCCACATGGTTAGCATGTAAATAATTTATGTTGATATAGTGTATTCACTTTGTCTTCTTTGATTCGGATATTTTACTCTGAATAAAATGTAGTGTAGCAGGGATTCAAGGAAAGCTTTGCTGTGGGAAACTGACATTTATAGTTTAATAGGAGTTCAGTAGCTAAGAAATGTTTTAATAATAGCTGAAGTCATGTGCTGACCCTTATTTCACATTAAAATGACCGGAGTTTGACACTAAGATGACAGCTGGTTAATACAACTTGAGATTTTAAAGTGCTTGAGTATATGTAAATATTATGACTGATATCCTAAGTGCATTGGAAGATGCTTCAAGAAATGTCCTCATTCTAACAGTTTACTGCAGTCCCCAGTTTTTGAGAATAATATTGCTGAAGATAGTTTATCTGCTGTATTCAGAGGACATAGATAGAATAATTAAGAATTATGACTGACCCCTGTAAAAAACAGATTGTCTGCATTTTGTACTTCTACTCAACTATACTGGAAGAACTGTTGAGCGTAAAACCTGAGATTTCAGATTTGTCTAGTTTGATCACTTGAAGATGTCTTTAAAGTCTGCTTTTTATATAGAAATATATGGAGTTTATATATATATAGATCTTTAGAATATGCAGTGAATATAGTAATAACATTTTGGTTTGGTCACTGGAAATGTAAGGAACAAACCATTTGGGGTCAAAAACTAAGCTGGTGAGCAGGAGACTTCATTGTGTTTTAAAACTCTGTGAAGTTCCAAAGAAAGAAGTGTCACCTGTTAAAGTACTTAAAGTATTTCAGATTTCAACAAGTCAGAGCCTTTTCATGCTTCTTTACTCCGAAACATTTTACAAGATGTTTTGTGTAGTCTACTGTCTTTCTTTGATATATTGCATAATGGTTTATTATGTTAAAAAATACAGATTTCTACAGAAAATTTGTACCTAAAATTTGGGGTCTTGCAGGCGCGCTGGAAGCATCATGACACAAAGGAAAAAACCTAACGTATAAATATACATACATGTACACACAGATGGTGCTAGTCTGTTTTCCTTAAGGTAATTGGCCTGAAAATGAGTAAGATTGAAAGTAGGCTGGAGGGAGGAGTCATAAAATGAAAGTGGGATAAGACTATGAAGAATTGCACAGATTAACCAAAATGAAGCACTTGCTAACTAATAATTGATTCTTTGTTTTGTAGATTCAGTGTAGATTCAAACCTTCAAGCACAGAATCCAGAGGAAGGGTCCTGTACTAGTGCTTAGTTACCTAGAAAGAATTTAATGAATTTAGTGCCTGACATTTCTTTAACCATGCTTGCCATGGTTTAAGCCCAGCCCCTAACTCAGAATTGTGCAGCCGCTCACTCACTCTCCCCCTTCTTCCCCCCCTGCTCCAGAACCCAGGGCAATGCCACATACTTGGGAGTTAATGAAAGCAGTGGATTCAGGTGGTGTAATCCCCAGTACTGACTCGTGGCTTTTACATGCCCAGCCAGCTGGAGAATTTGTAGTTCTCAGGCTAGGTTCTCTGGCACTGCAAAGGAAAATGTGCTCAGAAATGGTAGGCTTTTGGGTCAAACACTTGAAGCAAAATAAATAGCATCGTATTCAGTTCGATGATTACACCAGAACAGTCCTGTACCTACAGATGAAGGGACTATAAATGGATTGAAAGGAAGGTCTCCAGCATTCAGCCATTTTGTAGTGAATCATTTTTGTGCCATTCTGAAGCAAAGAATCTGACAGATAGTGGTGGTGAAGTTGTTCATCAACTTGAAGCAACTTGTTCGAGAGTGTGACTGGTCAGATAGGATGACACTGTGCTACTGATACTTCTATCTGCCTTGAGGACCTAATGAATAGAGCTCTGATAACAAACAGTGATCACATAAAGTTTCTGGGAAAGAAGATCAGCAGCTTCAATCTAGCTGATAATCTTAATGACTTGATAATGCAGCCTGATTGATACTCTATGTCAAATTCTTTGTGTCGTAGATAAAGTGTTCCAGAAAAGAGGCAGAGGGAGCATCTGCACAGACAGATGCTCTGCAATTCAAAGTAAGCATAAAGTACGGCATGAGGAGATCTTGTTAAAGAAGGTGTCTTGGGCCAACTGTTGATTTAAGGAATCAGTTAACTTACCAGAAGTAGGTCTTGCAACAGTGACAAGTCCACTCTTACCAAGTTGTGCTTCACCTTCTATTGTCCTGTTTTACTGGGAAAGTGTAATAGGGATGTGAGCCCTGGGTTGAGGTGAGGTGGTGTGCTCTAGTGCTGTTTACACAAGTAAACCATTGAGTATAAGTCATCATCAGTTTAAGATTTGCTTCGTTTTCTCTGCCTGAAGCCTAAATAGGAATTGCATATAGTAAAATTAAATTGTACTTACAAGCTCTCCCATTTTGCTATTGTTAATGTAAGCAGTGGCTTAGATACAGAAGTTAATAACACTGTAACTGTGATGTTGCACCAGCGTAGCTTTGCTCTGCAATTGCATTTAAGTGCAGGGGTATCTAGTATCTCAAGAGGCAGATCTGTTGGTACAGTAGCTTGTACTAGAGAACTTTGAAAGACTAGCAGTAGCAAGCAGCAGTAGAAAGTTATTGTAGCCACGAAGTGTGAGCAGTGGTTGCTCTTAGATTGTTTTCTTGCCGTGATTAGAGCCCTGCTTTGTTGTAGGAGCCAATTTCTATTGTGTGAGAGCAGGCAAGTGAGAGCTTTCAGGAAGTTGAAATTGGTGTCAGAACAAAATCTGGTATCCTTAATGAGTTCAGCTGCCTAGCAGGAAGTGGGCCATGTGACAATCTGCAGATAATTTAAATGAACTAACTTTATGAACCTATACTTTCAACATGACCTTTCCATATCCAGCCTCCTCCACCAGCAACCTAAATAAACAAATTAGGAGGCACACAATGCAGTAAAGTAAGTGTAGTTAGTTTTAATGTGGAATGGCAGTTTTATGCTTGAACGAGTGCACAGGTAATATGAATAGAGAATCTTCACTGGATCATTTAAAGTTGTGTAACGCTAATGTAAGGGATTCTTTCTCAATCTATCCACTGCCACATGTTTTGCAGCAGAACCTGCTGGGTAAGGAGGTGGTTCATGTCTTTTGTTGTTGGTTTGGGGGGGTTTTTTGATTCCTTTTGTTGAAGGCACTCTTTTTTTTTCCTGTACTAAAAAACATCATAGGCTTTTTTGTGGGAAAAGGAAGAGTTAATACTAACACTAGTAATCCCTTCTGGTTGTTCTCAACTGTAGCACCTTCTAAAGGTTGCTGTTATTTGAGGTCGATTGGTTGGTTTGGGTTTTTTTCAGCCTCTGGCTAAAAGTATAGTCAGTGAAGCCTGTTTATTTTGAGTTAAGTTACAATGTGCAAGTACTGTACTAGCACAGTGGCCAGGCTGGCAGAGTTATTACAGGCTAGCTTTAGGCAAAAGACTCCATCCAGATTTATTACTGTTACCATCTCTGAATCAGTCATTCGGATGTGCACTGAATTTTAGTTTTGTTGATTCCAAATGTGTTTGGTTACAGTGCAGTGTGATCAAGATAAGGACTGTGTAACAGCACCCACCTTCAAAAACTTCAGTAAGAAAAAAACCCTTGTTAATCACTATTTCAGGGAAATCACTTCCAATGAATGAATATGGCAAGACTCTGTAATCTGTGCTGTGTTGTACATCTATGATCCTGCTGGTGTGTGTCAACATTACCAAGACACTGACTCCAAGCTAAAAGAGCATGCTGAGAAGTAGAGGTTATTAGTGTAAGCTTAGTACCACAGCAGCAAGGTTACATGGCTTTTAGTCTGTTTGGAGCACAAACACAGAGGATTCACACCTGGAGGAAGCAGTAATCCCATTTTAGCCAGGATTAATTTGGGTAAATATACCATGTGGGCAGCTTCCCACAGCATTTGCTGCTAAAGGACTGCTTAACACACTTCTTAATTCCTCGACTGATTCAATGTATGCACTTTACCATTTCTTTCCCTTGCAGTATTATACGAAGCTTTATGCATGCTCTATGCCAGAAAAAAATGGTTAAAAGCTATGCTCAGGATGAGGAGAGCAGAAATGTTTGTTTCAGAGGTAGAGCTGGGTAGATGGATTTAATGGCAGGAAAACCTGGCAACCTGATACTGAGAATAAACAAGAGTCTAATCACAGTGCTGATTTACTGCAAATCTGGGATCATGCTAATGACTTAAGCTTCTAAATTACCTATGTATCAAAGAGAGAGGATGAGATCTGCACTACCCAGCACCTTAAGAAAAGCAAAGGTAGCCACTGAAAATGCTAAAGATGCAATTTAATCTGAAATAGTTCATCTAGTAAGCAAGGCCATGCTAAGCAAGTGTTAAAACACAGCATGGTTCAGGTCAGAATTGTTTTTCTGCTCTCTTTAAATAAAACAACAGCAACAAAACCACCAAAGCTAAGCTCTTTTTTCTGTCAAATGTATTGCCTGACTTGTATTGGTATACAAATTATAATAACCTAAGATTAGTTTATAATTGCACATTTTGAAATAAATTATTTTTTATTAGAAGTCATAGTACCTTTTACATGTTTTAACTGTTGTATAAAATGTTCAGTTTTATTAATTTATGAGAATATGTGTGATTTGCTAGATATTTCCCAGCATTTATTAGATGTGCTTTATAGAAATTATTCAAGCTACATTAGTGTTTTGAAGATGGTTTTAACCGTTCTTTTGTGAATTTAATTTCCATTTCCAGCACCTGGCCTCACTGGAATTGTTGGAGGGCACCCCAGAGTGTAAGTTAACTGCTGATAATTAACTTCTTGTAATGTGTGATGGTCGTGTTCCTACCACTCACCATCGCAAGCTTCCCTACCTTGAAATACGGACCACAGAAGCAACTAGCCTGTGTTACATGCTGTGCTTAATAACTGATAGCAAGATAATAGTGAGTACTACAAGATAAGTGCACAAATAGTGAAATTCTTTATTGAAATATTGAATGAGAGTTATTTTCTCAGTAGGTGTCAGATCAGCTCATAACAATATGCTTGTCTTTGCGTGATGAGCTGTAGGGAGAACTTTAAATATGACTTTATGGCAGAGCAGTAGCTCAAGCACATGCTAATACGTGCAGATTTCTGGATGAGATTTCTCTTGTACCTGTTAGTTTGGAATGTGGGCACAGCAAATTTGTGTCTGTACCAGCTCACTTCACCTAGAAGTGTGAGGTCAAATGTCCTGGACCGTCCCATAAAACATGAACCCATTGTGTGAGGAAGGTGAACAGAGTAATGTTGAGCATATGAAAAATAAAAAAAAAAAAACAATAAAAATCCTGGTTTAATGCAGTATTTCCTAGGTATGGCTAAAATTTGCTGGTGATTGATATGCTCACCTTTCCATACTCATAAGGGCATCTACAACTTTCCTGTCCCTAAGTGAATACTTCATTATGTCTGTCTTGTGTATGGAGACTGGGGTAGAAACTACAGATATATTTCCAGTAGCTCTGTGTAACTAGCCTAGGTATCAGTGTGGGGTCAGTGACGTGCAGTAGACTTCAGTGTCATGAAGTGCATCCTTTGTGAAGAAAATATTTTCTATACTTTGGCTACTCCATCCCATAAAATTTTCTTGGGGTTGGTTTGTTTGTTTTTTAACAAAATCATTTGTTTCTTAATGATGACATGGAAGTGTTTGTCTGGTGTATGAATAGTGTTCAGGTGTACGATCTGACATTTTCATTAATTTGTGGTTAAATGCATTTATGCTAGTTGTTTTGTGTGCCTAGGTCTCCAGTTTTGAAGCCATTTTTCTTCTATTATCCCAAAAGCAATGTTCAGGTAAGAGCCTACTCTGTTCTTTTGAAGTAATTTGAAAGATGCTGTCAACACTGGCATTTTTTTGTGACTTCAAGTCCTAAATCTGCAAAGTATTCTTGTAACTTTTATTAAATACTTTCCTAGAGACTAATGTTATTCACGCAGAACATTTTACAACAGTTGAACTTGGCAACCTTGCATGTTAGTTGCTGTGAATTGTGAAGTATCTTGCATCAAAACTGAACACCTCTTTTCAGGGTCCTGGAATTGTAGGTCTGAATTATTTTACTGCATTTGCAAAGAGTGCTAATGAAAATTATACATCTCTTGGGAGTTAAAGGGCCCTATTTAAAGAGGGTATTTACAGTTGATCATTTTTCTTGTTAACCTGGACACATCTTCTGACTTTTTGGGGTATCTGCATTTTGTATGTGTTGCTATTGGAGGGAAGTACAATCAGTGAATATCCTCTAATTCACATAGGTTTTACTACAGAGAGTTGGACCTTCTCCTGTCTGTAGAAGTAGGAGTAGTAATTTCTGCTCTTGCCTATACTGCAAAACCTGGAAAATTATGAAAGCCTGTGCAAGTATTGTGATGAGTATGATGGAGGAGCCTGTAAATAATGTCCCTGTGGTCGTATTCACTTCATAGCAGTAGGTCCTTTCAGTCTGAGAAATTATGGTTCAGATAACTAGGCAGTCCTAGGTGAAAAATTACAGTGTGAGATGGAACACTGAACTAGAGCCATACTTCTGTTCCATTGTTCACATACCCCTGTCTTGATTGAAATCCTCAAGGTAAACATGAGGAAACTGGTTTTAATGAAAATGTAAAATGTTTGGATTTATAAATATTGGTTTCTGCTTTTCTGAATGCCATTAGGTACTTAATTTATCCTCTGGAGGCTACAGACAAAACTGCATATATGCCTTTCTTTTTCCAATGCCCTTGTTAAGTCTTGCAGCTGTTGCATGCATCTTGTGCCAAGGTATCCTGATAATGGTGCTTCTCACTCAGTAAGAGCTTTCTCTCTAATTTACCATCAAGAAAGTGGCCAAAGGCCAGAATGTTGGTCTGTGTCGGACTGCAGGTTTTGTGACAGGCTTCGGGTGGTGATGGGAAGCCTTAGAAGCACAGGCAGCAAGTGAAAAGGTGGGGGGAAGAGGGGAGGAACAACCAAAAACCAGTTGATTAAAGAAAAAAAACTCCAACAAAAATCCCCACCTCAAACAAACAAAAAACCCAAACCAAAGAACCCCTCCCCCCCCAAAAAAAAACCAAAACAAAACCAACCAACCAAAAATCCAAGAAACCCAACCAAACTTAAAACAATTATCACAAATCAATTTAAGTGTTCTGCGCATTTCAGGAAAGGACTGTTTCATTTCCATACAGTGGTTGGCACGAATGTGTCCAGACATTGCATTTTCTTTTGAGTAGTACTGTGCATTAGCGGGAAATAATTTAAGAATCATTTACTGAGGAGATGCTATTTAGTTATTAAAACTAAGTTCATAAACAGCGCATAGTGAAAAAGCATTAAACAAACACCTCAGCTTGTCAATTACGTTCAAGTACTTATTGTTGTAATTTGCTTTACGTGAATGGCTTGTCTTTGCCAAGTCTCATATGCAGTTATTATTTTAATGGAAATGTAGCCTATCATTCTTTTGTTCATCAAATTAAATGTAACCTTACTAATTATCACTGTGTTCCAGACTTTGTAAAATGCGGTTGAGTTCAGATAGTTATCTAATTTGGCAGGGAAGGAAAGCAGTGTCTCATCTACTCTTTTCCATACAGAAAATCAAAATCTCTGCTCTGTGTAGCTAATCTGATGAGTGCATGGGTACACGGTTAACAAAATGTCACATGACCATCACTGTTGTACTGCAGTAATATTAAAGGTTACGTAACAGTGGGGTGTAAGTGATTCAAGTCCTTAATTCAAAGTTTCAGCCATGTATTAACAACAGTGGCCTAGCTAGAGGTTAGAGAGTACATAAGGTTAGAGAGTACATAAGGAATTAACTGCTTTTCTAGACTGGAAGTTCAGGTACAAAGAGCCTACTTGCTCTAGTTCAGCATTTGACCTAAACCCAAAAGCACTCCATAAGGAGATTTGCAGATATGTTAATACTACCACAGTGGGTTCTTTTGTTTTGTGTTTGATAACACCATTCTGGGTGTCAGATACTGGTTTCAATATCTTGTTTGTTGTTCTCACTGCTTTTATGCAATTGTCCCAATTTTATCAGATCACCAGCGGTTTTACAGTGGTTATTTCCCATGTGTGGTTTCTCATGTTTAAAAAGTAACCTAAAACTTTTCCTCAGGGAACAGGATTCCGGCAAATCTACTGATTCAGCTTTTCTGGGGGAATAAATCAATAAATTTTAAATCTTGCATAACCATTGGAGGCCTTTGTCACTATTAGCTGTTCTCTCATAACAATCCTGAAGAGGGCTGAGTAGCATTATCTTGCATTTGCTGACAACTGAGCACTGATAACTGCTGCAGCTAAGTTGGTGTATAGTTTTGTTGTGGCAGTGTAACCTGATTGTATGTCTGACTCTTTACTACTGGGAGTCCTCCAGTACAGGTGAAATGGATGCAGTTAATACCTCTACGTGTTTGTGCTATATGATTTATCCAGAGAAACTTTGCTTACATCTTAAGTGAATAGTTCGATCAGCTAATGAAATAGAACACTTGACTATGTATGTTTTCAGATACCTTTGGGGTAGGGTATAGGAAGAGCTCATCATGCATGCTGTTCACAGCATGCATTCTTTAACTTCATATTTTTGTCTTAACCCCCAAATATCCAGTATTACTTTTTTTTTTAAATATATTATTTCAAGATAAATAAAGGATCCAGACAGAATTCCAGCATTAATACAGACAGTGACATTAAGAAGAAAAGGGGGCTATATCATGGAAGAGCTGGAAGCTTTCAGGTTTTGGGATCCAACTGTCAACAGTTGTGACGCAAAATTCCATGCACTGCTGCGGGATATAGAGGAAGACGGAAAGAAAAAATCTGTCTTCTTTTAAAACATACCCAACTACATAGAGCATTTCTTTGATTTTTATGTTTTTTGCCCTACGTGAAGATTCCTTTTATGTTTATAATGGATCATTATTGTTATTGTGACTTTTAAAAAGAGAACAGCAGAATCTGATCTATAAAGCTGTTACTGAAAATGTGCCAGAGCAGTACTTAATTAGAAATATACTTTATTTATATGTTTCACTGAATTTCTAATTTGATGGTTTGAAAATGGGTATTTTTTTCCAGGTCAGCCTATTTCTAAATGGGCAGCATGTTGAGACGTTTGAGGAGGATATTACCTTTACATCAGATGAGGTTGTTTCATTTGATCCACCTGAGATTAGCACTGAATTGAAAGGTATGTTTGTCTTTGTCCTGGAAAATCACATGCTAGATTTTGTCTGTGAAATATATTTTACCTTTTTATATTTTTAAGTCCATTGTAAAATACTTAAGCAAAAGAGGTTAGCATCACGCAGTATAAAATGAATTTTAGATTGTAACAGGTTTTTAAGTTGTTATTCAAAAAGCCTAATCCTTAGACACAACTGAAGATGGTTAAAATGCTGACTTTAAATTGAAACATGGTTTCAAAGTATACTGCAATCTTACTTTGTTAATCCTGGAAATAGTTAGGTTTACCTTACATCAAAATAGATGTGTTCAGAATGGAGGACAGACTTAACAGAATGGTTAACATTTAGATAATTAAAAATTGGCCCTTCTCCATATGGCAGCTTTCACAAAATGCAGAAGAATGGTATCAACCTGGAACTGGTGAGTTTTAAAGAAAAACACACAGGGCTAATGATCCAGCATGGTAATTCCTGTGTTGCTGTTCGATTTGTCTAACCCAGTTTTCTGCAGAAAGAAAAGAAACTTGAGAAGGGCAAACCAGTGAGCTGAATGGAGTGGGTCAGGATGTCAGCAATGAAAAGGAAGTGTTCAGTGTTGTTCATACAAGCTAGGTACTAGGTTACAGATTATTGGAAGTTAGACACTTGGAAAATTCTTATATTCTTTCTAATGACAGAACTATATACAGTACTTCTTAACGTATAGCACACTTTTTACTTGCCTTTCAGTCCTAGCAGAGTCTTTATTACCTTGCTCCTCCTCACTAGAGAAATGAGAGATTTAAAACTGTATTTTAAAATCTAAGGTGACTGTAGCTAAATGTTACTTGTTAGAAATAGTTCTAAAAATAATACTGATGCTGAAAGAGTGATTCAGGTATTTAAGTCTGTGTATACTCAAAAAATTACTGATATGAAGGTACCAATATGGTAACATTTATTCTGGATTCCACATATAGATGAGTAGCATTTCTCAAAAATGATTAATAGAATAGTGGAAGAACTAATTAGAAGTTAGTAGGGAATGTTCTGGATCACAGAGAGAAATACTGGAATACACATATGACTGTGCATGATGCCATTTGAAAGTCACTGACAGTGGATGCCTGGTTGCCATGCATGAGTTTATTTTCCCCACGTAAACATCTCTAATGTGATGACTTGTGCATAGCACAGAAACAAGTTAAACTCTGAAATGTGTTTTCAGCTCTTACATTTATTGCAAATCTGTTGTCACATCAGAATCCTTCTGATACCTGAGAGTTCCCAGGTAGGGAGCAGTGGGGGATTTGCACCATTGAACTGTGCAAGTTTGTTTGGTTTAATAACGGGGTTAGCAAAGGTCCTGGTGTTTTGTTTGTTTTTTTTGCTAAGGTGACTACAATCTTAAATATTGGAGAAACAAAAATCTATTGGGCTTCCCATTGCCTTCTTATCATTGGAGAAAACTTTCAGAGATGCCTGACATCAGTATTTAAGTACTGAATTCTTCAGTCTTTATTCAAGCAAACTGCACTTTTGAGGGACAGCAGAGCTCCTCTGGTTCCTTCTCCTGAGAAGGATCTCTGAACTTTTGCCCTTAGTTGTAAATAGAAACGTTTTCTTTATGTGACTAAATACTTACCTACTTCTGTGGCTTAAGGCCATGGACAGCATGGATGAGAAATAGACAAATGGATTACACTGTAAAAGGAGTAGCTTCTGCTAAAACATTTTCTGTCAGCATTTATTAAGGAGGGAAGTAGTTTCATGGTTATCTCAAGTGTGAGGGACTGTTAGTTGTCTTTGAATAGATAAGAGAAATATGTGAAAATGGATTTCAAAAATGCTGCTGGATGTGGTTCTGGAAGGGTGGAATTTGAATTTACAATTTGCCCTAGCTTTGAAGGGAATTCTTTATGTAGATTTGTTTAAGATGTTTATTAAATGAAAACAATTTCCTGATAAACAGATCATGAAAGATAAATCAATTAGGGTAATAATGAGAACACCAGAACACTGCCTTGAACTGGTTTTGTTTAAAGAGAGGCTGTCAAAGACTGTCTGTGTAAAATGTCTGATGGAGAAAAGACTTCTACAGCTTATACAGTTTAAACATTGTCATACTTTAGCCTTTGAAGAAGGACTGCATTTCTTCTTTAGGGGTGTATTGAATTACTTTATTAAAAATAATGTGATTTCTGTGGTGTATGAAATGTGGTAGTCTTGTCCAAAATTAACAGTGAGCTTTAGCTGGACTTTTTCAGATCCTCTCACAATGGAGACGGTTAATCAAATGTAATATTCCCCAATTAAATAAATACAATCTTTAATACTTTCTGAGATGTTTTATGGCACATTTCTGGTTGAAGTTGTGACAGAGCAGGAAGGCTGTTGCTTCTCTGCTCCAAATGTTCCCCCTACTGGTGTCTGAGAGCAGAGAGATGGAAAAGCAGCTACTTCTGTGCAGAAGGATCAGAAAACGGCAGGAAGGGGTCAGAGAGGAGGGCAGCTGAGGGATGGGAAGTCTGCTACGGGTCAGGACTATAGATGAGTCCTATCAGCAAACAACTGAAACTGGGTGGCAAAGTGAGCACTTCATATCTTGCTTTGGGGAACAGAGATTAAATGGTGACAGCCTACTAATCTTAGTTATTTCAAGAGGTCTGTGCGGTGTAACTTAACCATCAAACCTCACATATAAACTGTTCTGGATTTGGGCAGGAGTGGGTTTGCTTTTTTTGATGTATTGATGTAAATTGATAAAAATACCTTATATGAATTCTGCTCAATGAAACACAACAATCTTTATGTTCCTAAAGGTTTGAAATTCCAATTTCAGACATCAACAAGTTAAAAAATAAGGTTGGCTTCCTGTAGCACATTTATGACCTTTTCTTAGATAATACTAAGATATTTATGAAATTAGTGATTTGAAAAAGAAATCTTGAATTCCTTCTATGTGCCCGAATTAGTAACTGTTATAAGTGGCTGTGAAAGTCAGATACACGTGGTGTCTTGAAAAGGAATTTTAAATTGTGACTGTTCTCTACAGACAGTGTCAGAATAAACAGACCTTACATGATTATCAGGATGGTAGCAACTACATGTGCTTTCCACCTGCACTGGAAGCAGAGAGATTTAAGGGGACAGAAATTGTAACCTAGTCAAGAAATGACAGGAAGCTGCTATGCCTCCTTCAGAGATACCACATTGCTAAGATCAAGATGATTTTTCATATTCAAAGGTGGTGTAAGAGATGATGCCTGGCACAGCATTCAGCTGTAAAAAGATAATAGGGATTTGGGAGATGGAGCAAGAGGGATCAATTTTGTAGTTTTAGCCTTCAGCCTCGCCTCTTCTTCTCTAGATGTTCCTGTGGGAAGAAAGCTTTAGAGAAATGTTTTCAGGAATACTACAAACAATGCAGGAAGTATACACTTAAAATGACAGTTACTACTTCAAAATATACTGTTATTTGCAGCTATGTATGTATTAAATGTATTCATTTTTATGTTGTATAGATCTGCCAAGTGGTCCACATACTTACCGCTTAGAAGATCTTGCCTATACTAGAAGTGGAGACAAAGGCAACTCTGCAAACATAGGTATTTTTCTTGCTTTCTGAACTGATGTAAGATTTTCACATAAGTTTCAGTATCAAGTGCTGTTCTTTTGTAAATCTCTCGCGTCACTTGATTTTTGTGGGGTGTTTTTAATTGTCTCTGCTGAAACAACAAATAGATATAAAACAAGGGTTTTTGTAACGAAATATCGGTAGTTTTATGTTCAGCGGCTGTTGAAATCTGAGGTGCTAAGAAATAATACTTGAATGTCATGAAAAAAAATACATGCAAAGAAAAATCTTTGTTTAGGGCTGAAAAGTAAAGAAATGAAGTTAAAAAATGCCTTTTTAAGGTTTCCTTTACATGTCAGTTGCTACTCCTTCATGGATATGTTGCATCATGTAGTCTCTTGGTTGTTCGATCGTTTGTAATTTCCGTACATGAATTTTGTGACATATATATGGCTAAAATACCAACAGTGTTTGGAAATACCAGTTGTTCTTGCATGTAAGAGAGTGGTTTTATTATACTGTTAATCCAAATGGTTTATTTAAGTGTGCATCTCTCTACCTTGATATGCTGCTTCTTGCATTGTTTAATAATTCCTTCTGTTCCTTACTTCTGCATGCAACAATTGGCTCTCTTACTTGTTGGAAGATGAGAGCGTGTGGTGTTCAAAGCTCAGTATGAATTAAAGGTGCGTTTGGGGTTTGATTTGCTGTCATGCTAAAAATGATGAATTTTATTCATTTATATTTAGGGATATAGTTTTCTTCTTCTTGTTTGTGAAACTGTTTTTTGGGTTGAATGAAGGAATTATTATTGTTTATTGTTATTAATTATTATTAATAATTTCCTTTTTTCTTTTTCTTTACTCATGGTTGGCCACTGTTGCAATATAGCGTTGCCAGATTGTGAATGATGCATAGCTAATAGCCTTCCTCAGATATAAAGACACTACTGCTTTATTAAGGAACAGCAATAACAACAACAAACTTGACCTTGAAGATTAATTTGGCTTCAAAGTCCACAGAGAAAAAGATTCTTGTGACACCAGTCTGCTTTCCTGATCCTGCTGTGGAGCCTCCGCTTCAGCATAAAGTTAACCTGAAGTTTATGAAAGCTATTTACAGCAATAAAAATGTAACTTCTCACACATCAGGATTTCATGCTTAGGAGAAGGGCAAGGACCAAACCTTCAGTCACTGATGGTGCCTTGTTATGGTTAATTGCAATTACTTGTCAAAGTCTTGCAAACCATTTAGTGGAAGAGAACTGCCTGTGGGTTGTTTTTTGTGATGTCATTGTTCTTCAGGTGTCTTTTCAGTGGAAGGAACCGCAGCCAGAAAAAGTCCAACAGTCACAGTGTGGGAGCATTCTTTCATGTCATGCTCCACACTACCTCTACGGGTAGAGGGAAAACTGTCATACTGTTGTGTTTTATTCAAGAGCTCATTAAAAAGGATCCATATGTACAATTTCAGTTAAAAGGAGGATCACAGATCAGTTTTGAAAGCATAAATACAAATTGGTTTTAACATCCCCTATTCTAACTAACACCAGTTATACCCAACAGGTGTGATAGCACGGCATCCCCTCTACTATCCATACCTAAAGAAAACTTTAACTGCTGAAGCCCTGGAGAACTACTTCCAACACCTTTTTGAGCAAGAAAAACCTGAAGAAGAGCTAGTAACGAGGTGAGTAGTTTGTTAGCATAAATAGTGCAAACACAGGTACTGTCTTCAGTATTTTTTCTTTGCCTTTTCAAATAGTAACTTAAACTATAGTCATTAAAAAAGGAACACAAGCTTGGGCCTCTCCTGAAACTGGACAAAGGCAGTTTAGTGAAGGTATTTAAATTCCCAGAATTAACATACTAGTGCTGGGGCTATTTCTTTGTTCTGTTCCAGTACAGAATGTCTCTACCAGATAAAAATAACTTAATGTCCTCTGAGAAATTTAACTTTCCATTGTTCCTTAACCATTTTGAGACTGCAGGAGCCTTAGTAACTGAAGTTTCCCAAGACTCAGCCACTGCAGAACTGGCAGCTTGAAATCCCCAAAATGCTACCACAGCCATCAGACACATGAAGTTCACTTACTTGAGAGAAAGTATTCCTTTGAGTACCACACTCTGACCCATTTTTTTGCCATGCATACCAAGCCAGAATTTAACAGAAGAAACGCCAAATGCACAGCTAATTTCCCTGTTTAAAATATGAAAGAGAATACATTGCAAACAGGACACTTGTACATTGTACTCACCTACACAAGAATATTGTCTGCCAGCAGACAGCATATGTAACATTTTTGGTTTCCTGATATATTCACCTGATGCTCAGGGTCCTTCCTGAGCAAATGAGACATACACTGTTATTCTAGGATGTTGTAGGATAATAGGACTCATTCTCCTAAGGATGTCCAGTAAAACAGTCAACAGATTTTAAATCTTTTCCTGTTAAAAAAAATTCAAAAGCTTAATACTGCAACAAACCATTTAGTCTTCTAAAATATGTTTTGATAACAAAGTCAGTTATTCTGCAGATGTGGAGATTCTGCCAAAATCATATTTTTCCATTGATAGTGGATAAACTGTTAAATGTTCTTTTGCTTATTCAAAGAGCTTGAGTTGGAGGGGTGCACCTCAGAGCTCAGAGAGAGCTCTGAGTTGTTTTAAGTGCTGTTCTTTGTCTTTATAAGCGGCTCAGTGCAGATCTCACCCACTGTTTCGTAAGTGCTAACAAATCTATGTGTCTGATAAATTGTGATTCAGAGGAAATTCAATTACATTTCTCAGTAACAGAGAAGGGAAGAGATCAAAAATGTCAAGCCTCTTAATGATACTTCTAGAAATTGATTCATTGTTGTTCCTTAATGCTGTTTATGTTCATAAATAAAAGTTTAAGTTTGCTGTGTCTGGATGAAGCCAATTTATTTTGATTAATTAGATTATCTGTTCCTGGGTTTGGCTTCCTTTAATGATGTGATAATGGAGCTCTGTGAGTGAATTTAAAAACTACTAGGGAAAAAGAGTAAATCCTTTTGTGGAAAAATTTAGGATTATAAGGATTATGCTCATGTGCTTCAGATTGTATAGTTTCTTTTTAAATTACTTTTTTATATTTTAGCTTTAATTGTCATAAAAAGAGCTGTCTTACTCTTTCATTTTCCTTCATTTCTTTTATTTAAATTGAGTGGTTAAGAAATATATATTGGTTTTGCTACTAAAACCATACCAGCCATGGCTCTGCCTCACTACAGAACCAGTTGCCTTTCGTTGTTTCTCATTAAAACTGTTAAATAGGTGTACTGAACAGATAAAAGGTGGGATTATTTTGATAGAGAACAGTGAAAGCTCCTAAACTTCCAGATTTTCAGGTAACATAGTAACAAAAGGTGATCTTTCAACCCACTCACCCCCATACCCTAAAACCCCAAACCTATGCGATTGCTCCCCACCCTGTGTAGAGTGCATTTGTAAAAGATCTGATAATCTTAAAATATGGAATAAGAAACTTTTAATATAGTGATATTAGGTTAGTCATTTAAGAAGGGTAGTAAAAATATCCTCTGAGAATTTGCTGGCTTCATCTTCTGAAATATTATTATCTTTATGTTTTGAGCATCCCATTGCTCAGAAATAAAAATGACAGATAATTTCTTCTTATGGGATATTTTTACTAAGAGCTGAAGAACAAGAAATGAGGATACTGTGCTTCTAGAATGCTTTTTTTTTTTTTTCTTTTAGAGTATATTTATTACTGGGGAGTAAAAATACCTTTCTGTAGTATATCTCATATGGAAACACCTCTTTAAGCCTATGGACTCAGTTCCTGCTTTCCTCTGATGGAAGGAATTCTATCTTTTCCTTGGTTTAAATGACATTACTATTTCTATGCATTTTAACAGGAAGTTCACAGGGAAACCTGACTTCTTTGAATATGTACAGACAGCACTTTAAAGGAAGTAGTTAAGTAGACACCCCATTGTGCATAAGAGTTCAGCTAGAACAGTGAATTTTCCTTGTTTTACTGGTTCCTGTCACAGACTTGGTATTCTTTGAAGGATTTATTTGTTTTCTGTGCTTTTTAAAAGGAGCTCTTAAAAATTTTGATTGAATTGTACAACTGGATAGTATTTTCTTCCTTTAGATCTCAGTTAATTAAGTTGTTAAATTGTACTGGGTAAATGCATGTCAACAGTTTGGTTAATGTATTGTTGCTGCTTAAGACTGTTAGGATGGTTATAGTGGTTTTTCTTTTTTTTATTGTGGGAGTGTATTTATTGTGAAGAAATATTTTGGATGCTCAGATTCTTCAACCAGGACTTAAAATACTGAAAATGCTGATCTTTTTATATAATTCTGTAATCCTAGTTTTTAGCTAGAGTATCTTACTGTAAATATTTCCTCCAAGTACTTGAAGTGCATGTGCCATTCTGACGTTCAAAATGAAGATCTGTTGCTTGTGTTACATACTCCCTTTGCCAGAATGACTGCAGAAAGTGAAATGAAATTTTTCCACTCTTTCATGTGCTTCTGCTGTTGTACACTCTTCAGTTTCTCTCATGATTTGTTTAAATGATAGATTTTCATGAAGCTTCTTTTGAGAGCTGAGGTATTAATTTCTGTAATACGTATTCCATAAGTCAAGTTCTTGTGGAGAGATCTGCCAGTTGTCAGATTGCTTGCTGCCTGGAAGTCTTCACTAGCTTTTCAGAGTAAAATTTACAGTATAGTATAGTAATACAATATAGACCTGTAGTTTTCATAGTATATGGTTATTGGTAATTTGTATCAAGTTTCTCGGTTGAAAATTTTGTGGGGTTCTCCGATCCTGCTATGTAGTTGATTATGCTGTTACATTTAGCAAATTATGTAGATGACTTATTGTGGAAATTGCTTTATTCCTTGTATTCCTGTTGTCTAGTAGAGCACTGTTAGATTAATCAAACTTTCCTGCCTTCTGACTGGATTTGCCTTTAAGCATGCATGATAGTGTTTCCTGTCAACTAGTTCTGAAGGAAGGTCAGCCGAATGCTAACACCAGTTTTCCTCTTAATAACTAACAATTATAATGCTAGAGTGTGGTAGTGTTGGGGGTTGGAGTGGCTGCAGTGCGTGTCGCCACAGTTGGAGTACTGGTGTTCAAAACCCTTAAAATTCTCAAACACTGTAGCAAACAAACAGGGTAAAATTCTCAAACACTGTAATCAGCCTGGAGGAGAACAAAGAGGTCAGAAAGAAGGAAAATGTAGGAAGATGTGTGTCCCGTCCCCCCCCCATAGGCTGGATCTCCGAGGAAAAAAGGCAAAAGGTGTAATTACTAGCAGTTCCCAATAGATGACTCCTGAAGTACAGCGGTGACGGCTGTGCTAACTACACATACCGGATTAGTTTCACGGCCAGCAATTCTATCATATTATAAACCCAGTGTTACAAAGTACAGCAGAATGATAATCTTAGGCCAGGCCCAAGGATAATAAACACCACTGCAGGGAATGCATGCTGCAAGTAAGGTATTACGTAATGCAACAGCTCTTGAGAGCAAGTAAATCAGCACTGTGAGCAGTGACTATTAAACCAATACAGTGAATGTTTATAATGTTTTGACACACTCTGGTCGGATCTGTCATTATTTCAGCCCTTTGTCCCCCACATTGGGTACCAAAAAGGACTGTCGTGATAAGTGATGCACAGTTGCTCACCACTCACTGACGTACACTCAGCCCAACCCGAGCAGCAATTGGTCCCTTTTGGGTGACTCCCCCCTAGTTTATGTACTGGGCATGACATGCTGTGGTATGGAATACCCCTTTGGCTAGTTTGGGTCAGGTGTCCTGTCTCTGCTTCCTCCTGGCTTCTTGTGCCCCTCCTCACTGGCAGAGCATGAGAGACTGAACAGTCCTTGATCAGAGCAAGCATTACTTAGCAACACCTAAAACATGGGTGTGTTATCAGTGTTATTCTCAGACTGAAACACAACACTGCACTAGCTACATGGAAGAAAATTAACTCCATCCCAGTTAAAACCAGGACATAATGAAAGAGTACAAGGAACAGTGAAAACAGTGTCTTGCCTAGCAGATAGGTGCAGACATTCCACAACTACTGTTTGCAAGAGCATAGTGAGAACCTGAAGTGTTTGGAGGAATCGTGTCCTTCCAGGAGAGGTTTAGGTCATATGCCCAAGATACAAGGGTGGTGAATATCAGAAAGCCATAATTTTTACAATGGTAAAAAGGAGCTGAAAAAGATTAAACTCAGAATGACAAAATCAGCAGTACAAGACCACTGCAAGAATCCCAGCTATTTCAGAGAGCAGGTTTGAAGGGATCCATCTTAAACTGATGAAGATCAGATAGATGACTAAAGAAAAATAGGTGGTGGTGGAGGAAGTGGGATTCAAATTGCAGCAGTCACACCTCTGGAGACAGAGCAAGAATTGGATATAATCTTTCTCAGTTGTTCTTCATGTCACGTTCTGATTAAATCCTTTTCCTATGGAAAAAAAAAGGAAAGCTATCAAGTCCTTAGACAAAGAAAATACTGGAGGAAAGCAAAGCCAAAGAAAATAATACAAGGAAGATGACGAAACACTGAAAATCTGTGCAAATGGAAATATGCTGTAGATCTATTTATAGAATTTGAAACAACTTTGTTAGGAAACCGCAGAGCCATTTTTCCAACTTCTGTGAAAGTTTCCAAATTGGAAATGCACCAGTCAAAAGCAAGGATGGAAAAATGCTTAGAGTGGCAATGGAACAGAAAAACAGGTCTGTAACATTGAAATAAAATTTTATCTGAGCAAAGTACATGGCTGCAAGAAAGCGTTGAAGTGTACCTGTACTTTTCATTTGCTATTATCTGTAGTTAAGGGTTCGATCTAGTGACTCATAGTTATTTCTCAGTAATAAAGAGGACGCATTATCAAGGAGCTGGCAGCCTTTGTTAGCAAAAGCGAGTTCCAGGAATTAAGTAATGGTACTTTTCAGTACAGAACTAGAAAATATTAAAAATATTTCTATCTGGCCACTGTGTTCTCTGAGTTCATATTGGATCTTGAACCTCTTGTCTACGGAGCTTTCTATATGGGCTTCAACTCTAGGGGGTGGGTGGGGGGCTGCTGGTGAAGAAGAAAGGGACCTCATGACAGATGAAGGAGTTCTGAACTTGAATAAGAGGAGAATTATTACTTTATGGTACTACTGTAAAACTATTACGGACTGTTGATTTGGAGTAAGGAGAAGGAACAAGAAGGCAGGGAAGATGATGGGTTCATTTTCGTTTAACTTTTAGGCTTGACTCAGTAGTGGGGTGCCATCAGTAGCGTGAAATTTTTGCATGCTGTCTTTTGCTTGGTGATCTGTGCAAGTGTTTCTTACAAAATCTCCTGAGAAACAATGTGTGGATTTTATTTTACAGATATGAGTTGCCAGGAATCCATGGATTAAATTTTGTTCTGAAGAATTCCCTTGGTGGTGGTGGCATAGCATCCCTAAGAAGTGACCCACAGGCATGTATCAAAGCATTGATTTTAATGTCATTATCTTTAATATCTGTGTATTAAACAGTCTCTTTGTAACCAACTTTTGGGCTGGAACTGTTAAGCTTTTGGCTTTTACTCTTTAGTTCCTTTTAATTTCCTGTTTATATACGTTATCTACGTATGTTGTTTTCAAACCGTAAAAGAATTAGGGAAGTAGAAAGTCATTTAGAGTATTTGGTGAAAAGGACGTGTACAAGGAACTATTCAGTGTCTTTGAATCAGTTAAGCTTTTTATGGTGTGCTGATGGTGCTTAGATGCACCAGCAAAATTAGTTTCTCAGAAAAGGCTGTCTTGTTCTGGAGAATGCAGAATTACTAGACAATTCTGATTAAATGTTTCCAAGTGTATACAGGAGCCATTAACTGTACAAGAGCTCCTCGAGCTTAGCCTGTATAGTTAAACCACTGATAATTAATATAAATGTGAAAGATAAAAGTAGTTGGATAGGTGATCTCTTTTGTTGATGATACGTCAATGCGAAACTATATATTTTTGCAAGCGTACAATTTCAGTGTTAAATATTTGAAATATCTAAACCTGAAGATGAGAGCTCTTAATGAGGCAATCCTGTGGCTACAGCAAAGCACAGTTCTGCCACCATAGGCTGAGAAATGCTTATGTCCACAAATAAGTTCAGCATAGTCAAGACAACTGTTCACAAAATAAGCTGATGCTATGTATGAATCATATAGCAGAACTGAACCCCAAATAAATTGATTTTAGTACTAGGTACCAAGTAAGTTGAAGAAACCATTCAGTCTGTTCAGGTTTAGATGCTTGAAAATTCAGCTGTATAGTTCTTATTAGGTATACTGATTCACAAGTGAGAAATCCAAACTTCTATTTATCTTTTCCATTTATTTGGCTAACCTACAATCCAAGGCTTGAAAAAACTCACCCAAAATTTATGTAAAAGTATATTTAGAGATAAGTATTCATAAAACCTACAAAGCATACTGAATTCTCACCCTGACTATAGGAAAAATACCTTACTAAACTATTTATAGGAATTTAATTTACAGAGGTGGTATATTTAAGATAGTAAAATGAAATGTTGGTTTTGTTCTTTTTCTTACAGGGCAAAGCACTTGGACAGATGCTGTTGGATTTTCAGATTAAAAATGTTCCTGATTTAAAATCACTGATAGAGTAACAGGTGTTTAATACATATGCTTTTAACACTGAGTGGTATCAAAATGTTACAAACAAGAACTGGCTTCTTGAGATACTCTTTTTTCTTAAAGAGTAGAAATTAGTGACAGTTATCTCTCAGAGGCTTAGCTATATGGCACAGATTAGCAAATGTTTTGAGCAATACAAGGCTAATAGCTTTGTCCTTGACTGATAACATTTCCCTTCCAGATAATACATTGGATGAAGAATTAATTTATTTTCTGTAAAAAAGAATTAATTAAATTGCAACATAACATTTAATAATAAGATGAACTTTGTTCAAAGATGGAAATTACATCCTGTTCAGTCCATTTCCCTTTTCCTTCTGTCAGTCTTTATTTGAAAATTAAATGGACTGATCTAGCTATTCTGTGCACAGAATGAGGCTGGATAACCTGCTGTGCATTGCTGCAGAGTCAGCATGGTCTGGTACTGGGGAGCAGCTTTCCCTGTGGGGCAGTAAAGGAAAGTTATAATTGCTGTTGTTGTACAGTGACTGGTAGTAAATGCTGACCTTTGATGGTGATCCACCAAACTTCCAGCACTTTGTCCAGCTAATGACAGGGTTCATTATTATATTTTACAACATCTCTTACTAGTTAATCTGTCGATTGAAAGCACTGACTGTTAAGAAATTGCAGATCTTAGTGTGGGATTAAATCTGAAGATGAGAATTAAGACCTTGTGCCCACTGTAGGAGAGGAACTGGTTCGAGACCATCTTAAAAATCTGAATGCACACAAGTCCATGGGACCTGATAAGATCCATCTGCAGGTCCTGAAGGAGCTGGCAAATGAAGTTGCTAAGCCATTGTCCACCATATTTGAAAAACCATGGCAGTCAGGTGAAGTTCCCGGTGACTGGAAAAAGGGAAATATAACCCCCATTGTCAAGAAGGGGAAAATGGATGACCCAGGGAATTACAGACCAGTCAGTCTCACCGCTGTGCCTGGCAAAATCTTGGAGCAGATTCTCCTGGATGGCATGCTAAGGCACATGAAAAACAACAAGGTGCTTGGTGACAGCCAGCATGGCTTCACTAAGGGGAAATCCTGCCTGACCAATTTGGTGGCCTTCTGTGATGGGGCTACAGAACTGATGGACAGGGGTAGAGCAGTTGATGTCATCTACCTGGACTTGTGCAAAGTGTTCGACACTGTCCCACACGACATCCTTGTCTCTAAATTGGAGAGACATCAATTGGATGGATGGACCACTGGGTTGATAAAGATCTGGCTGGATGGCCACACACAGAGTTGTGGTCAATGGCTCAATGTCCAGCTGGAGACCAGTAACGAGTGGTGTCCCTCAGGGATCAGTGTTGGGACCGGTCTTGTTCAACATCTTTGTTGCTGACATGGACAGTGGGATTGAGTGTGCATTCAGCAAGTTTGCCGATGACACCAAGCTCTGTGGTTCGGTTGATACGCTGGAGGGAAGGAAAGCCATCCAGAGGGACCTCAACACGCTTGTGAGGTGGGCTGATGCCAACCTCATGAAGTTTAACCATGACAAGTGCAAGGTCCTACACCTGGGTTGTAGCAATCCCAGGCACAGCTGCAGGTTGGGCAGAGAAGAGATTCAGAGCAGCCCTGCAGAGAAGGACTTGGGGGTGTTGGTTGATGAGAAAATGAACATGAGCCAGCTTCAGTGTGTTCTCACAGCCCGGAAAGCCAACCGTATCCTGGGCTGCATCAAAAGGAGAGTGACCAGCAGGTTGAAGGAGGTGATCCTGCCCCTCTACTCTGCTCTTGTGAGACCTCACCTGGAGTATTGTGTGCAGTTCTGGTGTCCTCAGCATAAAAAGGACATGGAACTGTTGGAACAAGTCCAGAGGAGGACCATGAGGATGATCAGGGGGCTGGAGCACCTCCCATATGAAGACAGGCTGAGGAAGTTGGGGCTGTTCAGCCTGGAGAAGAGAAGGCTGCGTGGAGACCTCATATCATACTTCCTGGGACAGTATCAGGGTGGAAGTTCTGGCCTGACAACGGTGTGTATTTCTTCTGCAGAAGCCACAGAAATATTACTCCACATGTTCAGGTGTTATGTATTCAGAAATCAGATTTTCCTTTATTTTGGGGAGACTATTAATTGTTAGTGCTGACAAATGAGATAAAATTATGAAAAATATTTTAAATTGTCACCAAAATACCTGTTGTTCCTAAATCTGTTTGTGCTACCCCTAATACTAATTTCCTAGCCGCCTGATTGCTAATGAGGACTATACAATGAATTATTCCCACCTTTTCTGTGGTTTTGTTCATTTGCATTGAAGACATCATAAATTAATGCTTTATCCAACTAAACATACTATTCTCTTAGTGAGTCATAAGTACGATCTATGTATACAGTATGATTCTGTCTAGTTGTAAACATGAGTCATTTCATTGCAGAAAAATATCCAGCTTAATAACCAGCATGCTGGTTTTATGTTTACAGTCCTTGTTTGTTAGAAAATTCTTGTTAATAATGTGGAATCCTAACAAAACAGACAAAGGTATTGAGAGGAAATGAAAAACTGGTAGACTTCAGTAGCAAGGATATCCTACAAGGATAAAAAGGCTACAGTAAGTACTTGCAGTTCACTCAATATGCTGCTAAAGTGACTCTGTAAACGTGTATGCAATCATTTCTGAATAAAAGTGAACATTTATAACGAACAGATTTGTTGCAGTCATTTATGTTGTTTCTTCTACTGGAAGAAGAGATACTTAGTTCAAAGGTTCTTTGTTCTGGGGTGGTTTCATTTGCCTGCAGTTTCATGCATTGTCTTGCTAGGTCCCTTCTCCCTTCAGGTTTTATCTGTTCTGTCCCTGGTCTTTGTTAAATACAAAACCTGAAAAAGTAAGTGATACTCTTTTCTGGAGAGCTGGTCATTTACAGCTCTACAATGGAAGCAGCAATTAGCTGAAAAGAATGGTACAGTGTTCAAATGGGTTGGATATGGGAATACAAAGGAGTTATTTTATCTCTGGAATTGCCCTTTTGGATGCTGTGAGACCATCCCTCACAAACATGCTTTCTGTCCCATTATTTCTTTCAGTGCAGCAGCTTAAACCAAGCGGGCATTGCTTTTCAGATACTTTTCTTGCAAATCACAGCCTCCAAAAATCCATATCCAAGGATTTTATTCTCCTTGACCTCCTTAACATGTTTTGAATTCATGAACCTACACTTGTTCCAGCAATCCCAGCTGACCTGAAAGCTGGTTAAAGCTGCACTTGTTTCTTAATCTACAGTAGAGGCTGAGGAATTGAGAAAGGTTTGGTAAAACATACATTGTGCTCGAACACGAGTGTGTACGCAGGCAGCATAGGTTTGACCTCAGTCACTTAAAAGCGTCTTGCCTGCTTGTTAAACTAAGGCTGTTCCTCACATGGATGAGAATTTACCCTTTCAGTTTCCTTCTTTCCTGCTTTTTCTCTGCTGCATTAGCTGTGAGGGCAGGATGGAGATCATAGTGCCTAGTGTATAAAACAAGGTTCTATATAATATAAGTTTCAGTGCTTACATCTCTTATGTGGGATGTTTTTGTGCTGTAGCTCATCCACTCTACAAAACAAAGGCTGAATTCTCTTACCTCTCACAGCTTTCTTTTTGCATCTCACCTAACTCTTCAAAATAAATCATGGAGTTTATCATTATAAGTATTCTATAGCAGCTAACAGTCCAAGCAAATACTTTGCCAATGTTTGCTCTTTAATATTTCAAAGTGATTTTCCCACTGCAATTTGTGTGTTAAAGGTACAAAACTTATTATACAAAAGTGACTCAAGATAAAGGATGTGCCAGGCAAAAGTGTATTTTCAGTTTAGCCAGCTCCAGTGAAGCCATTTTCCCACTAGAATAGGAGGGACCAGAGCAGAGGAAAAATAACTGTAAGTATACCTTTCAGATTTCACTTTGCATCATGGCAGTTTGAAAGTAATAGGACTGCAGCCCTTAAGGTTTGAAAGCAGAAAGTGTTGTGTTGCATGTTGCCATTCAGGAATCTGAATGGCTTCATTCAGAAATGACTTGATGCTGTTTGAAGTGCTTTTCAGTCAGGGATGCTCACAACCATTATGAGGTACCGGTGAGGCAGTATCTGAGTGGATTTCCCTTAGTGGAGATGTGTGTTGGCTGGAGAAGTGAGGCTGTTCTGGAGACGTGTCTGCTGCCCCTAACGCTTGTTCTGTCTGAGCCTGAAAGTAAGTGAGTAGTCATGGGGGAGGGAGAGGAGGGTCTTTAGTGCCTCGGGTATGAGGAAATTACACTGCAGAACTGTCACAGCTCTCGCCTTAGTCCTTTGAAACCCTCCCATGTAGTAAGTCTCCTCCTCCTGGCAATTCCTCTTCTTTGGTTTCATCCTGATTTCCTTTCCGGATTTACTTGAAATGGACCCTAGTGGTTTTGGGATTAAAGCTAGCTGGCATTAAGAAGGCAAACAAAGGATGCCTCAGAGTAAAAGATGCCATTGGGAACTGTCTGTGTTTGCCAGGAGTTCAGCCGAATTCCTCTACCTTCCTTTGGGCTGAGGAGAGAAATCTGAACTGTAGGACTGAAGCATCTCTTAGCACCAAATTCAGCAACGCTCATCCAGGCATTCCCTTGGGGGGAGTGTGTGGAGATGGCAGCCCAGGGCAGGACCAGTGCTCATCCCTGCAGGAAGGAGACGGGAACCTTTCTGTGCCAGGACTTTCTGTGGAGGCTTTGATAACCTTCTGGCTGTGGCACAATGCTCCAGTGCTGTGACCATCGCCAGATGGGTGAGACCTGTTACCATGATGAGGGGGTTTAATCTTTTTCCCCTGTCCCTTAAAAATATGCACTAATTTAAAATGAGAAAAGCTCCCCTCCCCCCCCCCGTTTTTATTTACTAGTAGCAAAAGCTTCAAACCTTCCAAATACATTTAAACATCTTGATTCTGAATGAAAGAAGCTCTCCCAATTATGCAATTATGCAGGCTGGTGGCTAATGCTCAGGGCTCTTGTCAGCATCACAAGCCACATCTATGTAGTATTTTCTCTTTCGTAAGTGACACAATTTGAAGTAGGGGGTTTGACTGAGGTGAGCCTCTGTTGCATAAAAACTTGGCTGAGACTCTCCAAAGAAAATCCCAAATGCCTGATTGCTCTGGTGAGAGGTGCTGGGGCTCTGGGCTGTAATCAACGACCAAAGAAGAGGCTGGTCTCTCTCATAGCAGATGAAACAAGGTGAGGATGCCCTTCAGTTCTCTGAGAAGCTGCTCTCTGCTGCAAGCAGAAGGAAACAGGAGGGCAACACCAGCCACGGGGTTTTGTTGGCAAGCAGTGAGGTAACCCACTTGCCTGAAATACTGTATTCACAAAGGTGTGTAAAGCTTGCTTTGGGTC